TTTTCTGGACATTTTAAAATCTTCCAGTTTCTTTCTTATACACCCTGCATAACGAAATTAATATGACGAATTCCATAACTAATATATCTAATTCGTTTGTTAAATATTTTAAAACATTGAATGGTATGAATTTTCAAACCCTATGGTTGTCATATATCTCAAAAAGGAAAAAAATTCCATTCCCATTTCGGAGAATAGTCAGTGGGCGCGTAACTTGAAAAAAACTAATCAGCGCCTTCCATTGTTTCCTTTATAGTCGATGGACGCCGCTAAGAAAAAGATGAGCGGGTGGAAACCCTTTCGGTCGTTAACATATTGTGAATTTCTTAATCAAATTGTCACATTTCTCTTTTTTTTTGAATAAAAGAAAAATAAAAGAATCGCAATTAACAATTTGCCTCTGTGTATACTCTTTTGTCAAACCACACTCCCCTATCAAAGCAATATCTAGAACTATTTTTCATTCTTATCTTATAATTGTTTATTCTGTAAGAATATAGAACGAAATCTGGTTAATTAATCTGGTGGCTACAGTGGACTTCATCTAAATTTTGCCACAAACCGATTTCTAGAGCAACCAAACTTGTAAAGTCTAAACGTCATACACAGGGTGTTTAAAAAAATGATATACATAAAATATGATTTTTTTACGTTTGGAGTGCGTTTACTAACTTTTTGGAACGTTTAGTGCTAAAACGATTATGATATAAACCCATGTGAAATTATCAAGTACAAGAAAAGATGAAGAACATTTGCCAAAAGAACCTAACCTCTTAACAGGTGAATTTCGTTAGTTTGGTTCGGCGAAACTCTTCATCACGTGATACAAGTAGCTACTGTAAAAGCAAAGCGGAAGCAGGGCCGGGGGGGGGATGCCCTTTCTATTTAAAGGATTGCACTGCATGCAATTTCATCTAATATTGAAATCATCTAACAAAGAAATAACATGGCCAACTGTCTCAATTCTGAGGACACTCTCTATTTTGTGCGTCAATAGAGAAGAGACCTTCAATTAAAATCTGCTTCATTTGCCAACGTTCGGTTGGCATCGATTCCGTCGTAAATCGTAAACTAGCTCCCTGCTTTCTATCCATTGTCGACTTTAGTTACGTACGTACAAGCCAAAGCATTAAAAACTGATGTTTCATTGTCGCAATAAGTATCACTTTGCCTTCATCCCATGCATATATCAGCATAAATATATAATTATTTATACTATTCTTATCAAGAGAACAATACAACAATATACCGTGCAAAATGTTATAGATTATCTTGCTATCAAAAGGACAATATATATCAACGGCAACTTGCAGGAAACCGGGGCAGGTATACAACGTTTTTGCCACAAGGAAAGCTAATATTATCTTGAATTGATGGTATTGATATTTAAGTATCCGAGTTGCTCATGCTATATAAAAAAAGGCAGAGTAGTTTAAGTCATTCATGACCATTCTTCAATTCACGTTTGAAAAACGAAGAGTTTCGTCTTTATCGATAATTGAAATAGGAAATAATACAGGTAAGGCGTTTACTGTTTATAACTCTATATAGAAGTAGGATTTATATTTCAATAATTTATTATTATTATTATATTACTTATTACAATAAGATATATATGTATATAGCGTACTTAATTTGATAACTACGAGATCTGGATGACGGAAAACCGGCGGACGTTTTAGTAAAAGTAAGCGTCTATTGAAATTATTTATAAAAAAAATTGTAGACAAATTTAAGCTCGTGATTTGCTTGGATTTTTCTACTACAGGACATGCCTTAAACAATATTAATTTCCCGTTATATTAGTTTGTTGTGACACCCCTTTCAGGTCAAGATCATTATTTTACAAAGCTATCTCATAGCTACCTCATATATAGCTGCTGATAAATCGACTGTAGCAGATTCGAATTGGTTACTTGGGTATAAGGTCTTTTAAACAATTTCTACAGATATTCTTTGAGTAATGAGATGGTATTTTTATCATTATTTTCATTATTTTTTTTATTACTTCTGTTGCAAAGACTGTTATAGCTATATAACCACAACTTTACTACATTACAGTTGAATTGTGACATCATTGCTCTAATTATTTCTAGACATTCCTATTAATGGCAAAATTTACTCCAAGTGTTTGTCTGCTGGTGATCTTGACCCTATCTCATCTTGGTATAATCGAACTTAACGCAATAAGGGCCATAGGTTATTATTTTGAGATTGTTCCTTTTAGTCATTTCTTTTTGGCTCATTCATTTTTAACTAAATTTCGTGCGATCACATCACTTAAACAAGGGTGAATTTCGTTTTAGACCAATCAGAAAGTTTGTTTACATTTTAGAATCAGAATGAATAAATTTGACTACTTCCGGTAAAAAGGTACATTATTTACCATTTTAAATGAAGTATTAAAAATTTAGGCATTCCCATTAGCTTTGCCTAAAAATGTAAACAAATATATGCCAATTAGTTTTAAACGAAATTCCCCCTTGCTCTAACCCACTTATCGCAACTCGCAAGCTCGCTGCGAGTAATTTCGTCAATTTCAATGCTTGATAGTCTATTTTAATTTGATGTAAGCACTCGCAACGAGTTGATTTTGCGGTGAGTGGAAAAGAAGATTTGAATCGAGAACAGTCTAACCAGTTATGAATGAACTAATGTTAAACTAATGATTTAATTTATTTATGCTGTTTATTAATTCAAAAGATCCGGCATGCTATCTCGAAGGCGTAATATTATTTCATGTTTAACTATATTCGAACCATATTTAACATTCAACAACGTATTCAAATATGAATTGACTTCAAGGGATTGACGAATAAGAAAACTACGAGTTGAAGTTAAGGGCTAATTCCTTGCAGTATTTGAAACACGAGGAGCCTCTCCAAGTACACAAATGCTAATTAGGATGAAACATTATATAAAGAATACTAATGAACGTGACAAATTATACAATGTGCCATCCTAATTAGCATTCATAGCACTTTACACGTATAAAGCCAACAAATGTGACTTCTTAAAGTCGATTTCATTTGCTAAAATTCATAAAATTATTAATGAGTTTTTGAATTTGAAGGTTTTCGAGAATTACGTCGGCGAAATTATGGCCATACATACAAGCGTGATCTATCAGCCGGGTGTCCATTTTTTTGGTATGTAGCAGGACTCTTTTTCTTTTCCTTGCGACATGCATTGTCTGCACAGACCTAAACTGCTGTTGCACAATTTTAAGCTAGCCGAACCCGCCGTAATAAAAAAAAGAATTATTGCACAATTTTTGCAAGGTATATTAGGTACACACAGCCGGAAAATAATATACCCAGTTATTCAATACCAGAGTTTTGTATATTAACTGGATTGTGGATTGGCTAATTGTTCTGGGACTGTAAAATTAGTGGTTTCAAATTTACATTGCCAAATGCCCGTAAGAAGAAAATAACTCGTCATAAGAAAAACAAATCATTGTATAAATTTTGCAAGGTATAACGTACACTCCCAGGCAGAATTATGAAGTTTGAGGACTGTTTATATGATCCGGTTGTCCGAGATTAAACGAAGCGTTCATAATTTTGAGGTATTGAAAGAAGTAAGGGGCCATTCACAAACGATGTCCAAGCCATAGGGGTGGGGTTTAAGCAATCTGGACGTCCGAAATTCAAAAATAAATATTTCTTTGTAAATGTTGTGTCAATGTTTGAACACGTCTTGAACACCACATAATATCTATATCTTTTCAATGATTCTCACTCATATGCGAGACAAAGCGAACGTCGGGGGGAGGGGAGGGGTCACTTATTCAGACAATATCGGACAAGGAGGGGGGCTTGAAAATCGATCGGACATACTTTGTGAACTGCCCCTAAATAACTTGATCCTGACAATGGTGTGATTATCAATAATGTCCCCATTTTGTTCATGAAAGCTAATCCCTATACCTCAAAATAATTTATGCCTTTATTAACCTTGGGTAACCTGGATTATGTAAACAATCTCTTAAAGTTGACTAAGTTTGAAATGCAAAATTTGTTAGATATTTAAAACATTGAATGGTATGAATTTCTTAACCCTATGGTAGTCACATACCACATATCTTGAAACGAAAAAAAAATTCCATTCCCTTTTCAGAGAAGAATTGTCAGAAGTCGCAAACTCATCAGTGCCTTCTATTGTTTTCTTTATAGCCAGTGGACATGGCGGAAGGTGAGATATAGATTGAACAGATACCCTTTCAGTCATATAGTGTGTCAAATTGTCAGATTTCTCTCCTTTTTTGAATAAAGACTGTCAGATAATAATATGGCAATTAACAATTTACCTCTGTGTACTCTTCTGTCTTGCAATCAACAGCGTTTGCCAGACACATTTAGATTAAGTGTATGATCAATACTATTTTTTAAAATTCATTAAGTAATTTCTTGATAACCACTTTAAATATTTTGTTTAATTAAAAAGGTAGGTACTTACTAACTAACACAATAATTGCTTATTGCTACATTTAATATATCCCTAAGGATCTATTTTTGTTAGCTTATTTTTTGATCCTTGGGAGTTTAATAACTATTATTGTAATATTTTTCTTGGAAAAGATTCACGATCACAACTCAAATATATAAACCCTTCTTTGTTGCTTCTTTCTTGTTTTTTCCAGCCATATATAGCTAAGGTCTCTTGTCCCTTGTGATGACAATCCATTTCGTCCCTTATAAGCACCACTAATCCTTAGTGCTGCCGTCCAGTAACCATGCAGTGGATAAACACAGAATTGCACAACTATGTTTATTATATTCATTTAAAAACCAACACCCTTTTTTATTAACCTCATGGCAAACAAACCTTTCAATTGATTTTCAATTGAACTAATATTTGCAACATGATAAACTTTAATCAGATTAAAACTTTGTGAATACCATAGAACCATTCAGCAGCTTGATTACTAGTGTCTAGTGGTACAACTAACGAAATTTAATTTTTTTCCCACCAAAACAAATCATATATCAACTTACGATTTCTGGACAATGCTAGAAGACTGGGGAAGTTCACTATAAAATAAAAATCAATGATCGCAAAATTAGAAACAAAAATAGAGATAAAATGGCTAAAGAAAATGACGGGCAAAAACAAGGCACTGTTAGGCTCTACAGAAAATGTTTTTAGGGGGGTTACCCCCGCTATAGAATTACATCCAAATGATCTGAGATATTAATACTCGGGATTTCCGCCCATTTTTTGCCAACATTTAATTTTAGGACCCTTTATTTTAGTTCAAATTACTTCGAAATCACATTTACACTACCAAAAAGCGCAACAAAACTTTAAAATTACGAGAATAAAACGTCCTTTATTTACACTACCTACGGCCACAGTCCAAAGTGCATGTGTCATGTATTTTTAAAACCGCCCGACCATGTTGCAGCAATACTGCAATAATTATCGTAATATACAGAACTTCTTAGATTAAATATATTAAAAAGAATAAGCACCTACCTCATTTTACCTTGTATTCTGTTGTAATTTGTTTAAAACCGTTGAAAATGAGATATTTTCTTCAAATTTTCCATGTGGTTCACGGCTTCCTTCGCACGATCACACGACGTTGCGGCAGCATGACGAATGTTACGAGCCTGCGAGCGCTACGTAATTCAAGCCAGCGGTGTTTTGAGGGCAACAAGAACATCTGCCATCAGACACACAATCAAACTTCAATGTCAGACTTTTAGCCTCTTAATCTCTAAACATTGGTGCCCAGTAAATAAACTTAAAAAGCCTTCCGGATTTCAATTGCAAATTCAGCTTGAGAACGAGATTGTGGCATCTTATCGCGCATGCGCCCACACATAAGCTCAATGAAGATGTGACGGATCTTTGCGCACAAGTGCGGAAAGGATGAGGAAAAATATTTTTCAACACGTTATTTTAATTAAAATGTCTACTGCAATGAAAGTGCACAAAAATTTATTTACCAGAATTTTGGGCTGATAATGGATGCACTGAGACTGATTTCACTATTTTTGTTGATTTTGCAGTGACATTGCCATTGAATCGTTGTGTATTTGCACACTGGAAACACCATCAATATATCAGAAGTTAATATAATTCAATTTGTAAATATTTTCCGTTAGAGCCTCGCTTATGAACGTGACAGCAGAGCCAAAAAATGGAGCAATCAAGCTGAAAATGAATAGGCCTAGTTCACTCGCTGAAAGTTGTCAGCAAGGAGGTATAACAGTAATAACATGCAAGTATTCTTTATCGTTTTTTGTTATCATGCGTTTATTTATTTCACACCAAAATACACATAATTAAGTTCAATGATATCATATATCATTGTCACACTGGACTGTCAAAACTGACAGGTTAAAACAGCTACTTTAGTCTAACCTCTTTGATGTATACGCTCGAGCTAATATTGAGACACCTGACAACCAGATCCGACAAAATTGGATCGTGTGAACAGAACTTATTAAAATTATATAGAAATTACTTTATAAGATATTATAAGGTTTTGGACGAAACTAGAGACATTCTACACGTTCTCTTTCTACCCAATATGATTTCGGCATTTCCAAATACTAGATATAGCATATAAATGCCGCAGAAATAAATAAACAATTTTTACCTATAAATTCCAAGGGTTAAGCATTTATCATTGAAAAAGTTGAGAAATTCTGTAGTTCCTCTACATTAAATTCTGTCGCATTCAATCCGTTTTTGCTCCTGCCGGCGATACAATACATAAAGTCTACTAGTTCTCAAAAACATCAATTCCGGAAATTATTTTGGCACCCAGTTTGCCAAGATTTAGGTACAGAGAGGCGTTTATGTTAGGGTTAGTTAATAAAATAATAATTAAAATAATGTCAATGGTGACATTAACTGACATAATGCATTAAACTGCTTCTATATTTAGACAGAGGAGAATGTATCCAGGGATTTAAAAGTTGTTCCCTTGAGACATCAATTCTTTTGCTTTCTACCATGCGACTTGGTTCTACGTGATTTAGTCGTTCTAAAAGTAATACAATTGCTTGATAAATTCTAGCTGATTAAAGCGTAGTCATTCTCGCGACCATGCTGTGGAAGGGCCCTGGGTACGAGAATTCATTGCTACCAACTTCTTTACTATAAGACAATCGTAAAATTTGGCATATTAAAAATACCCTTATACCGAGCGGTTTTTGGAGAACCTAATAGTTCGGAGTTGACTATATTTTGATGAAAGCACCCAGACGCTTAATCTCGGGACTATAAACTACTGATCTCTATTGCTGCTGAACGTATATTTTTTCAACAGAGCTACGAGGCTTGGCAGAGAGAATATTATCCTGCCAATGCCCTAAATGTATACCAGTATTTCTGTATAAAATTTTATATAATCATACCTCTACGTTCAAGATAGACACTTGTGTTAAATGGGCCATAAGGATAGTTTGCTTGTCTGCAGTTCTAAAAGTGGAACGAGGTTTAGGGTTTTTCCGAGGATTTAGATATCTTCACCACCCCTCTATTCGATTCAACTCTAACAAAAACTGGGTCACCCAGTGTCACCCAAGTCTGAACTTTGAATATACATAAGCGATCAAATCAGGGCCCACTCCTATGCCCGATGATTAGGCTATTAGGGTGTGTTGGTATTCTATCAAGTTGGGCTAAGATCGCGTAATGTGAAATTTGAAAGTCACTTTATCGGTCAGTTACATAAAATTATGGCCTTTTCAGACCGTTTCTATGCAAACCATTAAAGCTTTAGTACGTAGTATAGCGAGATAAGCGGATTTTCGGTGTACCGTAGCCCTTTTAGAGGTGATTTAGATCAGTTCACCGACCTGTACAATGAGACGGCGATTTTTCATATCAGTCGTCCAAGCAGGTACATATCTCTTGGGAATTACTGGATGATGTCGTGACCACACTGGTAGGCTAGAATTATAGTAAAATTGAAAACTTTCGTGATATCGATGAACTAAGTTTATAAAGATACACCACAGAGCCAGTTATATATGAAATGTAGTTAATTTATAGCTATAGTCAGTGACAGAATAATCCGTCATATGTGAGTGTATTTCACAAATAAACCGCTGCCGGTAGCTTTTCAGTGGATCTTTAATATATGACTACAAGGCTTGTATCTATCATCGTCGCAGTCTAAATTATATATAGGCTACAACGGAACCGGCGTTGCTAATGGTTCAAATGTCACGCAAAACGTTGGCTTCCCCGTTTCTGCTAACCCGTTTTATAGAAGTGCAATATTCATCTACAAATCTATACAAATTATACTGCCGAACACAAAGATTGATTCATGTCTAGACTGTTTATGCTGTAATTCGTGCCTGATTATAAGCTGTTTATTGGCGTGGTGCACTGACGCGTGCTTCACACATAGTCTAGATGATTATTAACTTTATTATAAAAATACATAGTCTAGTAACAGATACAAGCACGAGTCTCAACTCTGAACTAAAATTTTGTAAAGAGTATTGAGTTACTTACCTTGTGCTACTCATATCTCAAGCGACGTACACACAATGTCGAAATATAAATTTGGCAAACTTTTGTAATAAGCTAGCTCCAGCGCCAACGTTTATTATAATGTTTATATTAACGTCTATATTCACAACATAGCAACAATTCCGTCATCGGCTATTGGTTTAAGCGTAACTATGACAACGGTATGTCCACGTTTTAACCATGCGCACGTCACACAAAGTGTTTAAATATTTATAGTAACTAGAAATTTCTAATAGAAAGTGAACTGCTGCGAAATGTACATATCGATTTTTATTTAATTTTTTCCTAACATAATGTGACACATATCTAAATTATATGAAACATATCTAAAATAGGTTTATAATATTTATCATGACGTCACACACATGAAATTTATCATGACGTCACACACTACATACATACCAAAACAGCGAGATCGTTAGCCTGCGCCGCAGACCCATGCCCGAAATAGGCCCATGCCCGAAATAGAAAGGCGGGGTATTTCCGCCATATACCGTCTATGCGTAGACTACGAGATCGTATACGCATACAGAATAGAATGCTCCTCGCTTCGCTCGCAGCAATAATGTGTTTTTATTTCACATCGAATAGCAAGCTATTTTACTAAGTCATCTTGACTAAATATGAATGTGTATTTAAGTAATTGCATTGTCAACTCGGAAAAAAAATGTGATCAATAATTGGTTACTCTTAGCTATTCGTACCCATCCTGGTAACCAGGACTATAATACATATGCTATACCATGTTCAGTAATGAATGATCGTAAAGCTAAATACACTAATTTAGTGCTCGAGTTTCAGATTAGGTCCTAGGTTTGGTTTATGGCAACCTCGCAAGCCAGGTTTTTCTACCTGCGCTCTGAGGGCCACAAAAGCCTGGCCTGCCTGGGTTTATGGCTGATTAAGGTAAACACAAATGCTAAATCTTACCGTAAACCTAACCTAGTCTCAAGGATTAAATAAACAGTAAATTTCTGATTTCAGCTGGGACTAAATACGATATAGGAATTTTACTCATTCTAAGATGCTTTTTTCCGGCAATGGTGTGAGATTGTGTTCTGGCGAAACGGAACACAATCCCACACCATAGTGGGAAAAAAGCATCTTAGAATGAGTAAAATGCCTATATCATGCATATTTAGTCCTAGCTGAAATCAACAGGGGCGGTTGTACTAAAGCTGAGTGGACAGCGCTATCCACCGGATAGTGATTTATTCAGCCGTTTTAAACATGCTTTAAGATCAATGAAATTATAGATTGGCAAAGAACCCCAAATTTAAGAATACTAAATTCAAATTCAGGTTATGCCGAACAACGGGCAATTTTTGAGCATTAAAAAACCACTATCCGGTGGATAGCGCTGTGAAGCTTTCGTATCCAGGCCCAGAAGTCAGCGTGTTATTTCATCGGTGTGACCGCGTGTTGAGGGCGCGCTGACGAATGCACAACGTTATCCTTGTTTCCGCACACACGGATTGTCTCCGTATATCTCCTGTATAAATCAGGCTGTTGATGTCAAGTGAAGCGGGAGTGAGGATAAACTTTGCCCCATTTTCTACTTCTGTCAAAAAATAACTGGACTGTCAAGCACTAGGAATAACTTTACTGAACCAGAGTCAGCACATTGTGGCGTTTATTTTATTATATAACGAACCGGTTTATTTGAGCATTCAAACTCGCCATTTAACTCGTAAGGATGTGAATACCGTAATTCTTCTCTCTATTTTTTGGCATCGATGAAGGATTTTAGGAGAGCAACTCTTGTATCCAGGCATAACTCTTCTATAATCTCATACTGAATATCATACTCTTTAAAGAACTCGAGAAATATTTCTGTAAATTTGACAAGCTCTTCCATTTTGGGCACCATTCTTGTCCCGTCTTCCTGAATGCATTCTCTATGCGGCCTGATTATCACCGTCAATGTGTTTGAAGCTTTATGCCTGGTATAGTTTGAATGAAAAATCGTATTGAGTTGGAAAGCACACGTTGAAAACATCGATTTTATACGTAGCAATCAAGGCAATCTTAGAGTGCCAAGCAACCCATAGGGAAAACCCTTGGTCCGTGGTTGCCAGGCAACCGGCGTTTTAAAAAATGTTCAATAATACAGCTTTGCAACGTTTGCAAATTTCGTATACTTTGAATTCGTGTGCCCTTATTCTTTATGTACCGTCTTTTAAAGATATCCACCTTCGTTGCAGGCTGCGCGGGTAAAAAAACACTTAGTTTGTTCTGGCAGGTGTTTGACTGGTGTGACTTAACCCCCAAACGCGGTGCAACAATGGCCAACAAATAGAACAATTATACGTCGCTATTTCCTAAGCCATAATTTGCATGAAAACGAAACATTTTGACAGGTGCATAGTTAAAGTTTAATGCATCCAATCTTTGTTGCAGAGCTTCTATTGGGCAGTATATAGCAAGCGATATAAATGACTCGTCTTTCATTCCTGAAAAAAGTTGACCAAGTCCTATATTATTGCTTAAACACGTATGATAACACTCAAGACCCCATAATTGAGCCTTAATTAAACCTGGCATTCAATGGTCGAGTTAACACCAACTTTTAGATGAGAATTTTTATCCTAAATTAATAGTTTACATGATATACGAATAGCTTTAGTTCTGTGAAATGATCACACTCTTTCTACACCGCTGGGTGAGCAATATTCCGAAGTGATTTTCGTCAAAACTTTATTCTATTGGCTCATATTAGCTATTATTAATATGTATGCAAGTCGAATTCCTGGTCATTACAAACAAACTATTTGTACACGACAGTCGCTGAATAATGACACAAATGTTGTTTTCTGTATATAAGGGGTAATTTACAAATTGCTTACGAGATAGTTACGATACGCTATAGTTAATATGACTATCAGTATCTTTGGCCTATAAATATAGGTTAAATACCAGGTTAAATATACTTGACTGTCGAAGCATTACTTAACATGATACAAAGAACTCACCTTTTGATACATTCTTCGGCTTCTTTGGTGTTCATAATCTTCCTAAACCATTCTTCGCCCAGATACATTTTGCAATATATTATCGGATCTAGTCCACGGTCACTTATGTACGTTGTATTTTGTCTGCAAAGTTCTACATCGCTATGCCATTGTGCTCGCAAAATTTGCAGCTGGAACTCGTAAAATGTGGCGGGATTTATCTTCGGATTGAAGTCTTCGGCCTGCCATCGATTTTTGGCGAGTATTTTCCGGGCTATTTCATTCACCACATGAAAATCGTGGCCAGGTTCTACGAGTAAACTTTGGAGTAATGTGGTTTTGCCAGAGCTATGAGCTCCACATATAAACACACGCAACATAGCAAATCAACTATGTAAATTTCTTTGTTCGAATTTAAGTTTCATAACACAATAATAAACCGCCAAAGCATTTTTAATTGTGGAAAGTTTTTTGAGTCATCTAATCAGTTATTGAAATCGATAAAGAACGCCGAATTTGCAATAAATGAGGTCAAGTGTACAGCTTTTAAGTTCGGTCTTCCAGGAAATTGACCAACTTACGAAGAAAAGGCGGAAGCGGTTGTTCATTTCAATCGATCGATTTCTAGATGTTTATAAAATGACCTGCTCTGACATGCAATTTTTTAACCAATAAATAATTTTCAATTGATTAAATAAAACCTTATCTAATAGCGGGATTTTCGCATTTTCTTCGCATATTTACGGAAAAAATAATTCGTAGACGCTGGATAGCAAACTTTCAGTTTCAACTTTTGGTTACGTCATCTTACGTTTAATTCGCCGGCAACGGAACTGTACCAGACTGTCTAATGCATCTACGACTTTGAAATTTTGTTATCAAACGTTTTGAATCGAGAAAGATACCAATTATTAGCTATGTTGCGGGTGTTTATATGTGGAGCACACAGCACAGGAAAAACCACATTGCAGAATCGGCTTTCAAATGAAAAACTTTCTCGCAAGTTTCACAATGTAGAAGAAATAGCCCAAAGAATATTGAACCAATGTGGACGGCAAGCAAGCGATTTTGACCCGAGGGAAGACCCAGAAGAATTCTACATTTTGCAGCTTAAAATTCTACAAGCGCAAATGCACGAGGATGAAGAGCTCAGCAGAGAGAACACATCTTATATAAGTGACCGTGGGCTGGATCCGATTATATATTGCAAGATGTATTTAAATGATGAAAAGTTTAGGACGTTTATGGAAACAAGAGAAGCCAAAAAAAGCATTGAAATGTAAGTTAGTTATACCGTATGTTGAGTGATGTTTCGAGCAGAATAGCCATGTATTTTTAAATCCAAACAAAACGGAGAAAAAGTTGAAAATAATAAAAGGACTATTGAGTTAGGTAGTCAAACCACTAAGAAGTTACATTTGAGTATGGAAAAATCGTAATTTGATGAAATCGAGTAAACTTCTTTAAACTAGAAATATTTGTTTTTACATGTATGATGAACAAATATAATATGTACCCAATTTAAGCAATATTAAAACTGAAAGATTTCGGACTAAGCTAAATATTCCCCCGACTTTCAACCAGTAGGGGGCTAAACCTCTTATACAATATTTCAAATAGAGACATACTTTCTAAACGATTTGCGCAATTGACATTGTCAGATTTTACAGAAATGTTCAAACTGTATTTGAAAATTGTTAATTCCGGATTCAACTGAAGGTAAAATTTTATATTTTACAACGGTTTCGGACAATTTTACTGACCTTCTTCAAGCTTTATGTTAAATACCTTGATTACATAGAAGCTTTATAGAAATGATTTTGCATAGAACTTCATGGGTTCAAATGCCCCGCTGGTTGGTACTTGGCATGTCGTTGAAATTCCGTATAAATTCACTTATTCCGGGTGTTAAACTATTTCAAGGCATCAAGCATCAAACACATTGACTGTGATCTTAAAGCCTCATGCAGAATGTGTTGAGGAAAATAGAAGAAGAATGGTGCCCAGAATGGATGAGCTGGTCCAGTTCACCGAATTATTTGAGCAGTTCTTGAAAGATCACAACATTCACTATCACGTCATAGAAGAGTTATGCTTGGAAACGAGAGTCGCTAATTTAAAGTTTCTTATCAAAAAGGCTATAAAAGAAATGTATTCATCACATGATTGACATGCATTGAATGAAGGGCACCAGATAGCTAGAACAGGCATGCAACACCACATTTAATCTCAATATATGCATAATGCGTAGCACTAATATGAAGACGGTCAAGGACTGTTTTGTCTTCCCGATCGTGAGTCATGAAGTCAAAACAATGCAGTTTATGGCAAATGCCAAACTGCTAATAAACTTTGCGTTTCATCTAGATAAATCGCAGTTTAAATAAGTTAAGTCATAATTCTACATAAAGCTCGTGATTTTTAGCATTGATTGATGTAAGAGAGCAATGGGCCACTGCAGTCGTATTTAGCAAAGCAGTAAATTCAGCTTTGCAGTATATTTTTCTCGTAAAGAATTTAATGCTTGAACGACTTCATACACTTTTAGCCGTCCAGGCATTACAAGCTAATGTTATATGGCAAACGTGAACGCATACTGCTAAACAATATTTAATCTTTGGCTAAATAGATCATTCAATAGGCTTTTGCTTTCCTCTATCACTGCAGATATCACGAGTTTTTCGTGAACGTTTATGACCCGACGAAATTGTCGCAGACTTTAAGGCCTGTTTCAGGCGTAGATTACTTTACCTAAAACCCAAAACAATAATCCGATCGTCATTTCAAATATCGCATGTGCTGAATTCAAATAGTTGCGGGCTCTATTCCTTATGATCAGCGACAGTCAAAAAATGGCATATTTCTAGAAATCTTTACTTGCTATTATTACTTGTCTTTTACTTCAAGCGAATTGTATTCGATACATGCAAAATGCGACCTTTGAAACAGGCCTAAGACACCGAAGACTTCAGCTCATTAACATTAGGTTCGGCACATGAAATTGTGCAAAATTTGCAGCTGGAACTCGTAAAATGTGGCGGGATTTATCTTCGGATTGAAGTCTTGTCCATCCATTTTTGGCGAGTATTTTCCGGGCTATTTCATTCACCACATGAAAATCGTGGCCAGGTTCTACGAGTAAACTTTGGAGTAATGTGGTTTTGCCAGAGCTATGAGCTCCACATATAAACACACGCAACATAGCAAATCAACTATGTAAATTTCTTTGTTCGAATTGTAATTTTTTATAACACAATAATAAACCGCCAAAGCATTTTTAATTGTGGAAAGTTTTTTGAGTCATCTAATCAGTTATTGAAATCGATAAAGAACGCCGAATTTGCAATAAATGAGGTCAAGTATACAGCTTTTCAGTTCGGTCTTCCAGGAAATTAACCAACTTACGGAGAAAAGGCGGAAGCGGTTGTTCATTTCAATCGATCGATTTCTAGATGTTTATAAAATGACCTGCCCTGACATGCAATTTTATAACCAATAAAATATTTTCAATTGATTAAATAAAACCTTATCTAATAGCGGGACTTTCGTATTTTCTTCGTATATTCACGGAAAAAATAATTCGTAGACGCTGGATAGCAAACTTTCAGTTTCAACTTTTGGTTACGTCATCTTAATTTTAATTCGCCGGCAACGAAATTGTACTCAGATATAGAAAGTCTAATGCATCTACGATTTTAAAATTTTGTTATCAAAGGTTTTGAACCGAGAAATATACCAAATAAGTTATTAGTAATGTTGCGGGTGTTTATATGTGGAGCACACAGCACAGGAAAAACCACATTACGGAAGAATTTGCTTTCAATTGAAAAACTTTGTCGCAAGTTTTACAAAGTAGCCCCCCCCCAAAGTAGAAAAAATAGCCCGGAGGATATTGAAACAATGTGGATGGCAGGCAAGCGATTTTGACCCGAAGGAAGGCCCAAAAGAATTCTACAATTTGCAGCTTAAAATTCTACAAGAACAAATGCACGAAGATTAAGAGCTCACCAGAGGCAGAGATTGAGAGAGTATACCGTATATAAGTGACCGTGGGCTGGATCCGATTATATATTGCAAGATGTATTTAAATGACGAAGAGTTTAGGACGTTTATTGAAACAAGAGAAGCCAAAAAAGCATTGAAATGTATGTCGAGTTATACTGTACCAAAACGCTTTTAAACACGAATAATGAAGACAACTGAAATTCTATTTACTCCGGATATTTTGCATTTCGAAATTAAATTAGTTTTAATTAGTGTCGGTACTTTTGGTTTGATGGAAAAGCGCCTTGTGGATAGCTAAAACAACAGTATAGATAATTTTATCTTTAATTAAAAAATCTTGATCTATTCAAATCCAGACGTCAATTTCATCGAAGCTTGAATGAGCATTGCAAAATTAGTATATATGATTCACTATAATAAATTGAGGGAATAGGAACTAATTTTGACTGACGTCAGTGACCTGGTGTCAATCTGATTGATCTGATAAGCTCTCAAAAAGCTGAAGGAAGATGTTTAAACTCGCTAAATGTATGTATGGTGAACAAACATTTGGAAAATGATGTTGTGTGAAAATACAAACGCATACTGCGTGGAAAATTGTCGCTTGCTGGTTCATTCGTAGCATATAGGCCAACGCATATGACCATATATATAAATTTTATAAATGGGTTGCGAGATCCATAATACACGCACTCCTGTAAAAAACGCCTATGGTCAAATAATAAAGGCCTATTCATACTGTGTACTTTGAATTAGCTATATACATATCTATGTGACCACAAGGAAAATCCGAAATGCAGATATAATAATTTTATGTGATCATTCTTGACAAATGAACAACCACATGTCTGACTCCTTAATAATTACCTTGATTCTAAGCGGTAAGCCACTGAGTATATTCTGTTTGTGCATTTTTGCATGTATTAACGGCGTTAACTCGTGCAATGCTATTTACATGTACTATTTATGTCAAAAAGCTTCAAATCATGTTTATTTCACTTATTTCCTACGCCCTTGATCAATAAATAAATATACATTTGGTAGTTAATATTCATGTATGCATCATAACTATTTGAATGAGTTCCGATTAATCTAATAAGCAGGCGACACCATCCTGTGAATCATTATCTCTCGAGAAGCTGAAGGAAGTGTTAGAACTCGCTGCTTGGTAGCCAAAATTCACAATATGATCATGTCTGCAAAAGTTTTGCAGAAAATGCTGATGTTTGCGGCTTTTCTGAATATTCTTGTGGTCCCTTCTTTATCGCAAGGGAACAAGGTTAGTTACGTATTGCTACATGACATTTTACAACCCTTTTATCTAATTTCTGCTATATCAGTTATATCTGCAGCATGTTTCAAACAGTTGCAGTAAAAGTTTGCATCTGGCTTAAGCGACTATAGCTTTCTTTCAGCTTCCTCTGAATGTAAGATTTGATACAAGATGCATGCATGTAAATGCTACGAAAGGCTTTGATTATGCAAGTACTATAACAGTCTGACTGGTAAGAATAGCTAGAATGGTCAAGTAGCGGTGGTAAGCAATCGTGGTAGTATAATTGGGCGCAATATAGCAACAGTCGCTATAGAACATCTGAAATGTCATTCTTGGCTCATTAACCTAATTTCGAAGCAATTGAATTACAATTAACGCACACGGAAATATAAGCTTTACCTAATTTGTATATAAGTTGGGCTTTTAGGCTGTAACATTATATTACACGGAACAATATTTTAACGAAACGCATAACAATCGTCGTTAGGGGAGGACGAGATAATTGCCCTTCAAAGCATCTGATTTGAAATGGTTAGTTTAATATTACAAGCTGGGAAATTTTTTGTTCATTCCTACACAATTTAATCTGCATCCGCATGCTTGATTGAGGTCAGTGAAAAGTAGTGTAAAACTGATTTGGGACTTGAGTGTTCATAGGGCAGCTGCTATAATTCAATACCCCCCCCCCGGTGGCCTGCACTAATAGCGTTATGCCGAGATTTTTTTTACAATAAATTGAGGGAATAGGAACTAATTTTGACTGACGTCAGTGACGTGGTGTCAATCTGATTGATCTGATAAGCTCTCAAGAAGCTGAAGGAAGATGTTTAAACTCGCTGAGTGTATGCATGGTGAACAAATATTTGGGAAATGGTGTTGTGTGCAAAACAAACGCATACTGCGTGGAAAATTGTCGCTTCACGCCCTGGTTCATTCGTGGCATATAGCCAACGTATATGACCATATTTTTGCATGTATTTACGTCAACTCATGCAAAGCTATAAAGCAAATGAATCATTGCAGATATATACATGCAAGCAGCATTTTGAACAAATACATCGCAATTTTTAGCTGTTTATTAACATTTGTTATCTTGAAGATTACTTCGTGGTCGCATTTGATGTCAGTCTATACAAAGAGAGACAAGCTCTCAAGAAGCTGAAGGAAGATGTTTGAACTCGTTGATTGATAAACAAAGCATTTGCAATGTTGTTCACAAACGTGTGTATATAGACTAAAACCTGACTTCCTTATACCACATTCCTGCCATTCTTGTCGCCTCTATCCTGAGTAATCGAGAGGCAACAACTATACTTTATCATCAAGTTGCTTCGTTACATTTTTCTTCTTAGCATGCTGAAACTATATACTTCCTTTGTACTTTGAATTAGCTATTCATCCTACTATCCGCCTTTTGTTAACACGTCGAGTCGTAGTTTCCCATTGAAATTACGTCGGCTAGGGACTTGAATTTCAACATCGATGGTAGTGTATCCCTAACCCTATAACATAACAAAATTTTTGCACACTTGGCATGCAGGATGATCCAAACCAGACAAGCGTTGGAAAAAGCTAAACGAACTATACACAGTATATTTCGTAATACACTATACCCTATAGACAGATACAAATCGCATGGGCTTGTCCATCTCTTTAAGACATCGTCTGACGATGCAGGACTTACGCCTGTATTCAAAAAGCTCACTCACACTCATACTCATACACTCATACTATTTACACTGAAAATCAAGGCTGGAAATACCGCCATTGAAACGTTATGAGAAGATTAAGATCTCCCACTCAATGAGTTTGAGTGTGAGTGAGCTTTTAGAATACAGGCGTTAGTCTACACGATTTGAGAATCAGCCACTATGTCATTCAGCGAAGCATACGACGTTTTTATTGTATTTATAGGCGTGGCTAATAACTGCATCAATTTTGCCCTTAGTCGAGCTTCAACTTGACGAAGACAAGGAATGCAATGTCGTATACAAATTATAGAAAAAAATATTGTAATTAAGAGAAAATACTTTATTAGGTTTCGTATCAGAAAAAGTGAACACCATTCTTCGTGCTACTGAATATAAGTTTTGTGATCTTATCGCATGACTTCTTTGCAGACGCTTTCAAAATGCAACATTGGTCAACATCTCAAGCACAAGTGCAGAACAGGACAGTTAAAACTGATGATTTGCACAGAAAAAATTTCAGGCATACCTCAATGGAAATTTGCTGATGGTAAAATATTTTCGTAGGAGTTACATGCAACATTTAGAATAACCTGAAATTTTAGATTAAAGCTTTTCATTGTTTTGAATGAGATTTACACTCGTAACGAAATGTTTCGTGCACTTAAATGGATGATAGTCTCTAAAGCCATCAATTTATCTGTTATTACATCTCATCGATTATATACTCCCATTTTATAAGTTTCTTATCAACAATAGTTTTATGCATATTCATACCACAGGTTCCCCAACATTGGGTGAGATATTCAACCCAGCCCGGGATTGTCCTGACATTGTTGATCAATTGCCTGAAGCAAAGGACGGATTTTATTGGATTGTTTTGCCAAATGGAACCAAACACAAGGTATAACTATTGAGATGAACATGATTGCAATGCTAATTTCAGCTGGAGTATTAAATCTATTTTTCACGTGTTATGACTTCTAAATACACGTGGTACTTCTCGCATGGAACGATAAATATACATACGTAAAACGATAAATATACATATACTTTAAAACCATTTTCTTGGACAAATTAGGTTTGGTGTGATGTGCATACGGATGGTGGGGGATTCACCTTGGTCGGAAAGAAAGATAGCCCCCAAACCTGGACAGTTCCGTCATCTTCGACTCCAGTTTACCCCCAAGGACCTCCACAATGGTCAAGTGTTCTCGGTGACATGAAAGTTCTAGATTTTAGAGTACAATTTTCGACAGATAAAAGTTTCGAAGGAACAAAAGCTGACTGGTAAGAATAGCTAGAATGGTCAAGTAGCGGTGGTAAGCAATCGTAGTAGTATAATTGGGCGCAATATACATATGTATATATATTTTGTATAATTATATATGTATATACAAATTTAAAAAAAAACACTTAGAAAGGTACCATGAAATGTAACGTGGACAAATGGAGATCGATTTATGATTATTAGAATCTAATTGAACCGCAGCTTTGGTTTTGATAAGAAAATAGATGGAACAATAATTTAAGAATTGCTGAAACTTCGAATGAAATAGTCAGGAAAGTTGGCAATTGTTTTACTCTAGGCTGTACCGATTAAGCGCAAAGCGAATCCTGGGAAATCTTTTTTCCGCTCATAACAACAGTTGTCCATATCTTCAAGCTGGAATTGGAAATATTTCATTTGTTAAAGATCTAATGACTCAAAGTGTTGTGACTAAAAACTTCACATGCTCAAAGTTTGGACCAGATACTCATCAAAAATTGGGTTGGGTAATGTATCTAATTTTCTTAATCCATATATTCACAATGTCGAAATCACTGTAAACATATAATGTAAGCATGCAGTGTGCTTATTGAATAAAAAAACAAATTGAAATCGAAAAGGAGTTCCTAGAATGTCTGGGTGGTTACGAATATAGACTGTTTAGGTGCCAAAATGCAAAAAAGACAAAAAGGTAAAAAAGCCCGGAAATTTAAAAACCGACGGAGGATCTTTGCCACTAGTTAAAATTAGCATCAGCACTAAAAAGATTTGTCATGGGCCGTAACACTGATCTTATTCTCGTATAGGGACGGATGAATTACTGTCTTCAAAATGACTGCAAACATGGTTATGCAATATTTTCTGATGCACTCGGATTTCGATACGATAAATTTGGGTCATATAGGTATATACTATTTGCATATACTTTCTAGAATACTGAAATAAGTATCACTGGATATGAGAAATAGATAGAACATTGAAAACATTATCTCAGATTGCACCCTATTCTTAGTGCAGGAATGATGATTAATAAATTATATGCAATCTCGTCTTTTCTTTTACAGTTTCAGCGCAATTTCACCCTATTCTGGAATGAATCACGATGCGACAGCATTTATTGGATGTGATCAAGACAAGGTAAAATTGCAATATGATTTTTTTTAGTTTCACTGAGGAAACAGTTAATGGATAAAAATTCAATTATGATTTTTGGCACTTCACTCGATGTACGTAAATTCTAGAGGTTGAAAGGGTCTTAATTTTCGAGTAGAATTATTAATTATTAATTGCCGAGAGCATTGCACCGGCATCGCAAAAGCGTTGGTTCGATTCCTGCCGGAAGACCGATAGTTCACTCATTTTTCTATCAAATGTTCCTGTCTTGAATTTGAAGTGTGTATAATTCGACTCGAAAATAACACCCTTTCAACCTCTAGGATAAAAATTCAATTCTAAAATACTTATCATTCACAAAAATTACATTTGTATCTAGTACTGATTAAAATTTTCACTTCAAGTTCACTTTGGCAATATTTTTTTTGTGAAATTCCACAGGACGTATCAGAAACGAACCTAACGAAACAAAAACTATGTTTAATATTAAATTGTAAGATCATAATGGTAATTGCAACACATGTTGTTGATTTCATAATTCGTGCACAGTACGTTTACCAGTACATCATATTTGAAAGTTTATAACGTAAAAATATGCCTATAACTTCGCGTCTTCGGTCACGCACGCACCAAATTGTCTGAAAATTTGATAACTTAGGTCTGTAAAATCAAACTGCAACTTCACGTTGTTTTACTTGCAAAAAACAAGCAATCGAGCAGTCCTTTGACTAAAAACAATGTTAACAATGTTAGATGCAGAAAAAGATTTCAATGTTATTAATGCAGAAAAAGATTTCATAAAAACTAAAAAAACGAACTTGCATGCGTGTCACTTTGTATCTATCATTTCGGACAAAGCCTACTGAAGTATTTTTGTCTGTTTCCTTTGTCCATCCATTAATATTTGCCTTTTCTATAGTGTTGTGCGTGTTTTGGTCCCAAAGGTGGACTACGAAACTACTGTGGTCCTAAATGTACTGCAATTAATGGTGGAAAAGTGATAAAGAATGCTTTTGCTTGGTTTTGGGTGAGAAACAGAATGCCAAAGAGACTGTGGAAAAGATGCATGGAGTTTATGATGAAGAATTCAGCTGGGAAATCTGAAATGTATTTCATTGATTCGAAAACAGGCACGCCACACAAGGTAAATGATATAAATCATGCCGGATTTGAACTAGGTTTGGGTTTAATTCAAGATCACAGGTTTACCGACTGAGCCACTAAACGCAATAGGTTCCTTTTGTACTCACAGCTTTATCCTTTTCAGGGGTCATGCTCCGAACATCTCAATGCATTTTTAAATGAGGGAGTAAGTATATTCGCCGGATTGGCCACAATTTAAATCGTCGGTTTAAGGCTGGATCAACGAAAGGGATCAACAGATCATTATTCTGTTGAAAAAGATGTTCTTAGCGTTTGTTTTAACAGCTTCGCTTTCTGTTTGACAGACATTAACCGTGTCTGACAAGAAAAGTTTAGAAAAGACTCCAAATGTTCCAGGCCTTCTATCTTACCGTAAAGATGATAAACAAATTTATGTCAATCAGGGATCAAAGTGGCAAGCATTGAGTAAAAAGAAAGAGGTTATATAGTGAATTCTTATAAAATAATATTTTTGCTAGGCTTAGAAATTGTCATTTCATCTATCAAACGATAATGTTGAAACACAATCTCCATGATTTGTAGGTCATCCAATTGAACAAAGCGCTCAAATTTGAAACACGGTCTTTAAAAAAGGAAATAAATATGCTTGAAAAGAAAATTCAAAAACTTAAAGACAAAGATCAAGGTAAACTAACTAGAAATTCATGCATGCAAAACCCCTCTCGCTTATTTGAGGCAATTAACATATATTTCCAAAAATGAAAGGTTATTGACTAAATATTGTGAAATGAAATTTTGTTTAGTAATGTAATTTTGTCAGTAATTCTGTTGAAAAGTAGAAAAAGCATAATCATTCGTAACTATTGAATTATCGAAATAATAAGTAAGATCTCTATCCTTCTATCAAGTACAAAAATGTATTACGAACAGTTCCAAATATCTCAAATTTTCAGCGAAACTTCAACTGTTTTTTTAACCAAATTCACCTTTAAACTCAAATTTCAAAATACTTTCTTTTGCTAATTTAAAACAGCTTTTAGCATGTCATACCATTTATTCATAAGTCTACATATCAAACCTACAACATGTACATGACTATTAGCCCAAAATCTACCCATTTAGTCGTTCGAAAAACACCCCAAACAGTCTTAAAATCGTAGTTTTTGCCACCATTTGAAACACAGTTTTTTTTTGTCTGACGACACATCTTTTGAAATTTTCTTTCCAACAATTTTACCTAATTTTCGGATGATCCAAGGTCAAAGATTTATTTTCAAAAGAGGTTTAAAATGACAATTATTACGACACACCGAAATTTTAGATTTGTTAGGTACCAGTCTTAACTGTCTCGAACTGGCGCATGACTGACAAAAGCGTCCCCCAACGTCCATGACATAATGGCGGAAAACTTCAATTTAGCATTTTCCCGGGTGTAATTAAAATCTTCGGACGGAATTAGTAGCCTTGGTTCGGCTCGGGCCAAGCACTATCCTGGCATACACTAATGCATTCGTATTAGAAATAAAAAACGAGATCTTCGAAAACTTCTATAATGAAAAATTTTTAGTAAGGTTAATTGATATTAATCTAATTGGTAAAACCTAAATGGCATTTTTGTATACAGACATAATATTAGAACTGTACAAATACTGCATTATCTTACGTGTGAGAAATTTCTGATTAGTGAAAACATTATTATAAAAATTATAGAAATTCTAAGCCGCATTGATGTATTGTACCTACCAACAACCTGTTCAGGCGTGAAAACACGGCTGCCATCGTCAAAAAGTGGAAAATATTTTATAAATCCAAAAAATCAGGGACTTTCAACTAAAATTCAAGTGCATTGTGACATGACCTCAAAGAATGGTGTTGGCGTTACTGAAATCGGACATGACAGTGAAACAAGTATCAAGGTAGAATTTTCATAATTTTTTACATCGTTTTTTACATCGTTTCATCGAACTTTTTTGGCGATTTTTTCCTAGGTTTTTTACAACAAAGTTTTTATTTATCGAAATTGATCGGATATTTTAAGAATTGCATTGACCCAAAAAACCCTAAATTAAAGATACAAACTTTAAAGAGACACTTTTTTTTACAATATATGCTTTAGAAGCATTTCAAACTGTATTTGTTTTGAGAAACTTGTCGAAGAATGATACAACTAAATCATGAATCAATCGCTTTCAGAAACGAAGAACAACGTTGGTAAAAACATTAGCGAGGAAATTAAAAAACATACATGCAATCGTTGCAAACATTGATCTTTTACATGAAGTACTCGTCCTTACAGACAATATTTTCAAACACTAAAAACTCACCATTTTAGACCATTACAAAATGACCACGTTTCATGATTTTTTAGGTGGATGGTTACGAAGTGCATGGTTCATACCGCAGAAAAATTAAGTACGACATCGCCATGGATCAGATTGCCGCAATTATTTCCCGATCCACACGTTGCGAGCAATTTGTTAAGTATAAGTGCTACAACGCTGGTTTTTGGTTTAGCGCACCAGCGTCTTGGTGGGTATCACGACAAGGATCGCAAATGAAGTATTGGGGAGGAGCAAGTCCAAACAGTGGAAAATGCGCTTGTGGAATGACCAACAGTTGTTTAGATCGAAGCCAAGGATGTAATTGTGATCAAAATAACAATGTTTGGAGTGAGGACAGTGGCTATCTGACAGACAAGAACACACTCCCGGTAACGGAAGTAAGATTCGGAGATACTGGCACTTATATTGGAAATCCAGAGTACGGCTACCACACGATAGGAAAACTTCGGTGTTGGAAGTAATTGAAATATTACTATTTTCTTGTTATTCTTAAGCTTATATACCCGTATATAGTCACCGACCACCAGAGTTTAGTTCATAAAGCAGTATATACTTATTCACTTCGATTAATGGAATATACTGCATATAGTAAAGTAGTTTATATAAGTAGCTTAATCGTTTCCATGTGAAAGCATACGATTAGACCTAGTTTTCGATCAAAAGCATTAACACATCTTTTAAAGATCTCTTCTGTCAGTATAACTTGGAATACATAATAGAGTTTCCCAAACATTTTTTCCTCAATATTGATTTTTTGGATGTCTATAACGTGAGAAAATCTGAGGGCAATAGTATAAAGGTCTATTTACAAGATCCCATTTTTTTGGATCCAATTTCGCACTTCTGATGGAGGTTTTATGGTCTTTTGACTTGCAATCCATATAGGCAGCAAATCATCTGACATTATCATCTGAATTCAATATTGTGTGAACAATAAAATTAGGCACTTTCCAGATTACAGCCACTAAGCAACAGGGGCCGGTTGTTCGAAAGGCGTTTAGCTTAAACGGTGGATAAGTTCAAAATAGAAAGCAAAACTGTATATTTATTGAACAACTGAGCTGATATATTTCGATGTAAATAGCTTAATTGTCAATGGAAGTACATATTTAATGCATAAGATGCAGATTTAGTCATTCACAAGATGCATGAGAGTAATTTTAAACTTTGGCATATCCACCGTTTAAGCTAAACGCCTTTCGAACAACCGGCCCCACGCTGATATTCGATTCAACAAAAAATTCGACTTAAAAGTGTCAACTACATTTTGCGCATATTTAATTATTCGGTAACTCCAAAAATAACGGTTCTGATTTGCCAAACCCGTCGCCAAATAGCATCAACAGGTAACAATCTTTTATATAATCTAGTTGTGTGCGATTATTCTAACAAATCAACATTTATTCTGATAAATCACCACAAAACCAAACAAACCGATAAATCAGGGATAACATTAATTTACATTAAATCGAATTAAGGCGAGTTTTCGAAATCTATTTTAACAAATGAATGAATTTCGTACGTTATCGAAAAATGAAGGTAAACATCTTCTACAACCGTCTGCAAGGTACAATATCTTCGTTAAATTAACTTTCACTGTCACTTCGACATAAACAAAACGCCGCCATTTTGAAAAACAGGCTCACGTGATTATTGCGTAATAATCCAAGGTCGCTCAGATTCCAGAATTTTCAATAATAACTTTGTAGTTATACTAATACCCAATTATCCAATCATGGCCGTTTGCATATTTTTATTTTTCATGGTTTTATTTTTGTGTATAATATATATTTTATTTTTCTATATGTTAAGTAAATTACACGATTCGTACTAAGTAAATTCATCAGTGGCGTACAACACGGGGTTTTTAATTAAACAAATATTCAGCAAAGTATCTGGTTTTGCTGTGAAAAGTGTATATAAAATGGATAATTTCACCCAATAATATCCGCGACTACCACCTTAAATTAAGCTTCTCTAATTCTAAAACTAATCTTAGAGATAATCCTAAACCGTACATTTCGTGATGTCATCGTAATTCCAATACCCTATCTAATGGAGCGATGATAATAACAAGCTAGAAACATTTTGAGCCTTCATTATCGAAACATCCAAGAAGCTGCGCATATTTTAATACGTTTCTTATCGCCTGCTGAGCACAGAATATATATTTACAGTTGCCCTAGAAAATTCCAAACAAACATCAAGTTGCATCGTTTTTATCCTTCTCACCTGATTTCCTTGAAACATCACAAATATATCCAATCGAAGGTATCTCGCTATTTAATAATCGTGAAATTTCTTCTAAGTCCTGACCCCTTTTCTCAATATCCTCTGACTTCGTCCACGACATATCATACTCCAGTTTATAACTTCCTCGAAAGTGATGGGGACACGCATTTCCCCACTCCTAAACTCAAACAACGTTGAATATACATATAAGTGGGCTTCGCTCAAATATTTGCTAACACTATCATATATCTGCAATTAACTTTCTGGGGGTACAGGGTTAGACAGGTAAAAAGATGCCCCCCCCAACAAACGCCCAAAAAATCCATAGGAAATCCATACATGAAATCATTAACACCAGAACTGGCAAGGAACTAGATTTAACAGTCTATTGCGTATACTGCGAAACATTATTAAAAGAGGGAAAAAAATGCGTACCTCAGGTGAAATTATTGAAAAATACGACGTGCCATCTTTACGAAGATATAAGTGGTACATTTTCCCTGGAATTTTCTTAAAGTTACAAGCGGCGTGATGAAGCACAGCGTCTTCTTTGGCCTCTTCGAGAACTTTTCTAGCCTAAGCAAGAAAACGGAATAAAACTTATAGGAGGGGGTAAGAGCAGGGTCGCGGGATAACGCGAAATCAAATCGACATTTTCGTCTCTTTAAAGGAAGGGTGAGCCAAATAGGGGAGAGTTGGCCCCAATCCACATTAATTTAAATCATCAGTTTGTAGGAACACCATTTATTACATGAAGAGTTTTCCGTCCGTTAACTCGTGCCTTCATTAGTACAATTAACTATTTATTATAAAGCAAAACAAGCTTCCTGAATGGTAATGCAAAATTTCACGCTAGGCCTCTACCCCTTTTTCTCAGCAAAGAACCGTCTTACTCAGCATTTCCATAAAAGAGCCCGAAAAAAGCAATCCAATAACATCAAGAATGTTTCAAGGGATGGAAGAACTGAGAAATTCAGTTATTTATATCTCCTTAAAACAAGGAGTTTTCGTCAGATTTGCGAAATCGCAACAAAATATTATGTTTTGGCCATGTTTGGTTTTGCGTGTAAAGACTGGGGGTTAATTGCAGAACTCAGTTTCAACTTCTGGTTCGAAGGTAGCGTTCCAGTTATTTTCATTTTACTGGCTAATGTTTTCTTAGCATATCGAACAATGTTTACAAACTAACATCCCCTAAAATTATAATTGCATTGCAAGTTGCAAGAACAATTGCAGTGTAACGGCGCCTTTAATGTTTAAAAATACGCTGAATAATCGTGCATGTAACTTACGCACAATAGCGTGCTGATATTCGATTATCTTTTACATATACGCAAGAGACATGATGTAACATGTACCTGATTCTGGAGGTGACGTATTTGGTCAGCAATGACAATTAGTTTGCTCGTTGCGATGCACTTCACGAAGTCATCTGCTTTCTGAACTTCTTTAGCCAATGAAACAATATCTGTGGGATCCGATAGACGATGAACGGTTCTTGGGTCGACCAAACTTGAACTGGCCTCTGATGGAGCGACAATATGGGCGACTCCTGAAGATAAACATACAAAAATTCCTGCTGCTGAACTATGATGCAACCAGCTCCATTATATTAGTTGTATCTCAAATACAGTTAGTATATATCAACCAATGTATGTGATAGCCATTGATCTAATATCACACTGGATAAAGCAACTCACACCTTCGTACCAAAGTTTCATACCCGGGTATAGATAGAGATTACTTCGTGGTGCGTACGATTTTTATAACGAGTGCATAATAAAAATGAGCCAACCATGAAGTAATTTGTTTATTAAATGTGTATATAGAGATCAATTTGACAACGACACGCTTTTTGTATACAAAAACACAGCGAGCAACAAAAATCGAAATTTTAAGCATCAAAACATATTTATTATCGTTTAGTTTCTTTGTAATTTTGTTCAATAGAAGTTAGATATTCTTTCCAAAAGAGTTGATAATGTGCAGAATGTTAAAATATCTTGAATATGAGAATTATGTTTTGAGTCTCACTTCACTCCTATATTTCGACGCCATCTTGAAAAAAATGTAAACAAATTGCCGCCAAAATGACATACGACAATTTTTCACGTGTGAAGAATATCGTACGTCCAATCAAAAGCCGTGTATCGCATTTTTTCACACGTGAAAAACATCGTACGTCCAATCAAATTGCATGAAATTAATTTACACAGTGAAATACGATTTTTATTTCATCATTCTGAGCCCTGTGCATAAATCTCTATACACATATAATAAATTCTTTTATCCAGCCTATTATCAGTGGTAATGGACCTATTGTAATCAACTATAAGCACTGAAGCTAGCTGTTAATCTAAGATGCACCACTTATATAAGTTAATATTATATAATGTTATGGATTAATCATTTGGACTCATTGCCCATTATTCCATGTTTCTCAGTTCAGCAAGGGCAGATTTTTAGATTTTGCTGTTGTGGATGCCTGGAATTCCAAGGGGTATATCTTGCTCAACAGCATGTCAATTCTGATATCACAAGTTTCATCAATATTCTATCCCCAGTTTCCTAGTATCTTAGCTAATTTTAATATATTCTTAGCAGTTTCTTTTTAATGACCTAATATCTTTGATCGCATGATTCTTTTGGGAGAGGGCTGCAGAATTCTCTAATGAGTAGGATTGATCAACTCGCATTTTAAACACCTGATTACTGTACTTAAAGTTTTTCTGCTCAAATCAAACTGTTTCTCAAGAAATAATTAATTTCTCACCAATTCAATTTATAATTCAGTTTCTGTGGTCAGGTGATTAAATTGTTGTTGTTTTGGCACAAGCTCATTTGAAATGATGTGATAGGTACATATATCTGGATTCATGTTTATATGTAAATTCACAGGGCAATTACACAATTTAAGAATAATTTGGCTAAAATCTTAACAGCACTGAACATATGTATGTGGTATTATTTCCCTATGTTACAGTTTTATCATTATACCAGTTGGCACAAAAAAGTTAACCTGTTTGATTGAGTATAGCTTCATAACTAGGGCCCCTGTTACATTGAAATAAATTTCTTTAGATTTGTGAATGTCTATTTCTATTATATGCATTTCTATTATATGCATTCTATTACACCGCTTATGAAGTTTTGATGAGTTTCGGGTTTTATGTTGATATCAATATTGAGAAGCAACCTGATTGTCCAAGGCATGTAATATGATTTAAAGAGACAGTACATAACATTCAATTATTTTTGACAAAGAGACATCATAGGCTTAATTGATGAAGCAGTACCCTGAGATTTTAAAACATTCCTGCATGTTACTTACAATTACAATCCAACTTACTTACAATTCACCTACAAATTACTATCATGTAAGAAACATAAATATAAAAGGGACTAGATTGAATCCGAAATATAACCTGTTTGAACCATCTTGACTTAGTAGGTCAGTTGGAAGACCATTATGGACTGTACCAAAGATCGCAGGTTTGATTCCCCCGCAGTTAAGCTAATTTTTCAGTTTGCCTGATTTGTAACTCAGAGTAATTGCATAAAGACAAGTTAAATAAAGGATTTACCTTAAAAGAATTTAGTAACAATGGAGAAGTCTTTACAGGTCTCAATGGATTGTATTTTAAGTAACTCAGTGTAGCACCATCGCAATAATAATTAGCCTGTTATTGATAAAGCGCTGTACTGCATTGGTTTTAGTTTCAAGATTTGCTACCCACATACATTGCAAGTCAACAGACTATAAAACATCCAGCAGAAGTGAATTGGATCTGACAAAATTGGATCTGGTGAACCGACTTTTAAGTTTTAAAAGGGGATTGTGTAGCTGTAAGCCTGTAACCCAGCCCCAGGATTAAATGATGTTATTATCATCTAAAACACAATTAAAACTGGCTACCAGTTTAAGTAACCAATTTTATTGAAAGCATGCAGAAGGGATTTTGCAAGATATATAACATTTTAGTTTGATATATCATTTTAAAGTTGAGCTTAATTTTCTTTTAACATACCTCGTTCACCAATCTTTAGTTTATCAAGAACACTCATGATTCAATGATTCAGAACATCCTCAGGTCTCGCGGAAAATAAAATAAAGTATTTTCATCAAATACTAGAGAATTCTCCTGATTGATGGACTATAAATTTTTGTATAAAACTTTGCAAATTGCAACCTGAATGATGCAACCCAGTTATGCAACCCAGTGATGCAACCACAATGGTTTTACTCTTTGGCATACATGACGTTCTTCGCACTACCTTATCTACGCTGATAATCGGATGGGCGGGCTCACTTTTCGGAAGAACTTCAAACTTCAACCGTTGCCAAAGGTCGGAAGTTATTACTCTCGGAACTTTTGCCGACAAGCAGGGACAATTTTATATTTAGAGTTTGTACCTAGGCCAGTTGAGTCGAGTTGACAGTCGGTGTACAATGCTACAATAATATTAAGACGTCTTTAAAGGCCTGTCTGCGATATTCACCTAAATTTTGGCGAATCATTGTTAAAATTGTTCAGTGTCACGTAATCTGACGGTAATCATAACACTTCAGCGGTAGAGGGTTTCAAAAAATGGTGTCAAAAGAGTGCGCCGCGTATATTGTTAGCGACTCGTGTATTGACGATATTGTGCAGTTCCTAACACAATTCTTAGATATTTTTAAGTCGACGTTTCTGTGCATAGTTAATTATCACATAAGAAAGCAAATTATTTAACCTAGCCAGAGGTGAATATTTGTTTTAGTATAATTAAAAATGTGTTAGCAAATCTAAAAGCAAGGTTTGAAAGATATAACAATATTTTCCCAAAGGAAAGTTTTAATAAAAGCGGTCTACAAATTCACCTCAGTTTCTAACTTGATAATTTTAGGCCGAATTTTTTGCTTTTTGTATGTTTTTAGGTACAGTATTTTCGTTAAAATAACTTATTTTTTCGTCTGAAAAAACAACTCACCCCCACCCAACCGCTTCGGTGATTATCGCGTAATCATCCGAGGTTGCTCGACCAATCAGAGGTGAGAATTTCCAAAAATCACCTTTGTAATTATATTAATAATGTATATAAAAATAAGCTCCCCAAACGCTACTGCAATATGATCATGTTAATTTATTCAGTGAAGTAAAAACTATAAGAATAAAACTTTCGCTTTTGAAATCAGTTTCTCATAATCGTGTTAACCAATCCAATCTATTAAATCCAATTAATCCGACCTGACACATCTAAATTAAAGCGAGCTGTCGACATATGACTAACCGTTTTTAATCAATTTCATATGATTGTTTATCCAGAAAATTTCGAAATTTTATATCCAATTTATTTTGGTTTCACCGTCAAAGACATTGATGCGTGTATGCGCCCAGCCACATTCTTCGCTTCACAGGTATACAATCCTGTGTCGCTAACGGACACTTTGAAAATGAGCAGATAACCTGTGATACGATCCTTGAAATGCCTGCGGGAGGGCCCCAGTACTTTGCCGTCTTTGTACCACGTGATTGGAGCTATATTACTTGAACATCTAATGAGCACCGACTTTGAAGCGTAAACAGTCTGGTCACTAGGCAGCCTGGTGAACACTGGTAAAGCTAAAATATAATAGAGTGTTATAGAATAGAATTCATTGCGTTAATCTAGAATGTTATAGCATAAAACTTTTTGGGTTATTTTATGATGTTATAAATAGGATTCATTGGGTTGTTTTCAATGCTAACGTTTAAAGTTGAAGTCCATTCAACTTTAAGTTCAAGTCCATTCTGCGCATCGGTTCTTTTCATAACAATGTGAGGTCTCTGATATAAAACTTGCCCAAATTTCGCATGTGTCGAATATTTCTGATGACTAACTAGTGTTGATATATTCATTTAAAGGCGAAGTGAACCTAAATAGTGCTAGATATTCAACCAGTGAAACGTATTTTAAAAAGTAGTTCAAAATGTAAACAATATATATAATAATATATATATTTTTAGGAAATTTCTGCGGGCAAAAATAAAAGGATTTAACTTTATTTTCTGACGTTTCGCTGGTTATAGAGCTTCATCAGTGAACCAAAATAATTTATATATTATGTATATTGTTTATAAAGATTTGTAATCCATGCCAGGCATATTATTTGTTTGTCAATGTATGTGTGTTTGTAATTCAAATGGATTTATTCATAATTCTTGTTACCATTCAGAAACGCCGTCCCATTGTAGATCTGCAAAGAGAATGCGTTTGTAGTTCCAGTTGCAAGCACTTCAGGTTCTTGGTAGGCATGGCGTTTATCCAATGAACGAATATGACCAGACAAATCTGTCCAGTACAATCTAGTTTGGATTGAAAACGGATTCTGAAGAACATGATGATAATGGCAATGGTATTTACTAACCATACCTATGACGGTATAGTAGTCGCTCTGTGGTAGTAATGGTATTAGTAATGACATTGATGATTTCCTGGAAACGGGTTTGTGAAGGTTCCCTTGGAGCCTCTCCAAAACAAGTCCTAGTGGGTACCTCCGCGCGGTGCAGGCCAGGGTACTGGGCTACGGCTCAGGAGTTAAACTCACGGGGGCGGGGCGACTGTTCACCGGATCCATAAAGCTAACAACCTACCTGATCCTATGGGAAAAAAACTATAACCTGCTGAAGAAACGTACATCAAGGAAGAAAAATAGAGATCGGAGTGAGGTGATAATCTGTACTCTGAAAAGGGTGTTGCTCGTATCACAACAGGCAGGCAACGCCGCAAGAACCCTCCTTGTTTGAAGAAGAGGAAGGGCTCACGTCATTCTCCCCACTTTATTCGCCCATCAAGACACCTGGTGGGCCCCACTTATGTACTATGAGGCCCGCTAATTTAGTCAGAAATGTTAGAAGTCTTGAGTCTACCTCCATGGTAGTGATGGTATTGGTAATGATACTGGTAACGATATTAGTGATTATATTGATGATGGTGTTGGTGTCTCTGCTAATGATATTGAGGGTGTTTGTAGTGGTTTGATGGCAGTATAAATATTGGTCATGTGATATCCGTGATATCATTGGCGATGGTAGTGAAGGTAGTGACAGTGGCTTTGGAATTTGATTTGATGATAGTATTGGTGATGATCAGCTCCAATAGTGGAAAAGATTGTATCGGCTTGGTGCTACTGGTATTAAAATGATGGTGATACTGGTTCTTGTGATAGACCTGTTACATATAGAGTGGTTAGATATGGAAATATTTGTGGCCAAATTGTCATTTGAGCTATCATAAGAAAACAAAGAAAACAAAAGGCCAAGACAAAGAAAACAAAGAAATAGTGGGATGTTGTTTGGCCTCAAATATGCAGCTATCTACCAACCCTGGTTACAATATATATCAAAGTTTTGTGATTGCTTACCTGTGTCCAGCTATTCCCAAACCATATGGTCGGTTAATACCTTTCGTTGTCAGAGTGATTCTTCCACTTCCCTGTTATAGGACAATTGTTATGGTGAATCATCACGCATCAGAACTTCAGAACGAGATAACTAAACTAAGGAAATTCTTTCTAGCTTACATCTAAATTGCTCATCTCTATTCTCTTGAAAAGAGTATCGGCCCAGTACAAATATTTTCCATCGTTTGTTAAACCATTAGGCATAAGAAGACCGCTTTGAACGAGAACGACTCGGTTGCTACCGTCCGTGTTGATTCGTTCTATTTTTGCTAGGAAGCCCCAGTTTGTCCAGAATAACCATCTAAACGTTCAGTAATAACTTCATATTAATCGGCGCGGATTAGAGCAAGAACAAGGAGGATTTCGTTTTAGACCACCATTTTGAAAAATCTGCTTAGGTGATTATACACTCGTCAGTAATAATCCGACCAATCAGAGGCAAGAATTTTCAATAATCACCTTTGTAATTATACTAAAGTTTATTATATGGCATTATAGGTATGCATTTGCACTTGAAACAACTTGAAAGAAACACGAGATGCATGAATTTCGACTTTTAAGTATTTTGTTATGCATTTGATATGAAAAACAACAAAATACTGTATTATTTTAACCCAAAAACATTTGCAGACGTCTTACAATATAAATTAGATTTGCTTTTCAGGCCTTTAAAAGTAAAAACTTTGCCATTTTCCGCACTCAGGAGGCTTGCCGAAATAGAAATATTATTCAGTACTTAATACTTGAAAATACCTGAAAATAGTCGAAGTTTTGCATTTATGTCTAGCATTAAAAACTATAGCTCTGACACAAATGCGAAAGCGAAATAAAGCGAGATACTAAGTTGTTTCAACTTTCAAGCAAGAAATGGATTTATATAATATAAATTATATTTGACGACTAGCCCCAGTCCTTTCCCGCGATTTGGAATAACCTGGTAACCAGCGTATGAAATGTTACGGGGTTATGGACTGGATGGACGAAGTTAAATCAAAACATCGTTTTCTGTATTGCATTATATAGCTTACCGGTTCTTCTGGTGGAGTGTTAGGTCTCTTGGTTTATTTATACCAGTAATAAACGAGACAACACTTGCTCCGTCTAAGGTGGAACGAAACACGGTTCCAATACGAGTATCAGCCCAATACAATCTTCTCGCTTCTGGATCGACAATCATACCGCCTGGTACGATGACGTTACCGCTACGAATTCGGAAGGTTGAACATAAATTTAACAAAAAGAAGAAAAACTGCATTGTAAACACTAAACTTATAGTTGCGTTAAACAGCATATTGTCCTGAACTTACTTTATAATTTCTTGCTTATTCGTTCCGTTCAAATGCGCCTTGTATATCTTTCGTAATGTGGAGTCGGACCAGTATATATATTTGTCCTTCGCATTGTAGAAGAGGGAAATAATGCGTCGCGCATTGATTGGGAGTCGTGAAAATGATGCACGTTTCTCTGCATAGTAAACACTTACTGACCAAATTGAATCTGCTGTCGAGTACAACAGAGAGACATCTGGCTTGGCAGCTGGCAAAAAGAATAGAGGATTAGTGAAGTTCAACCTCAATTTAATCCAATGCTGCTACGGGAGGAAACCTAAATACAAAAATAACGAACTAGAGGTCTAAAATGAATCGTCAACTATCAATATAGCTACAGTTTTCAATGGAGACAGCATGAACTAAATATATTGGAAAGCTTCACGTTTCAAACTGTTTCCTAGAAATTCAGCAAGGATCTTCTGTTACTGATATAAATGTCACTCTACGATATATATATTATAACTTCATTCGCACTGAGAGTTATACAACGATTTCCGGTAGGTTATGTTGACTGAGTAATCACTACAGGACAGAAGTGGAAAACGGTGCTTATATGATATGTTGTTCCACCAGGAAATTTGAGTGATCATGTATTGCGATTACCTGTTAGAAAACATTTCATTCCATCCAAGGCTTGTGTATAATTTTGACGGCAAGAACACGTTCTTCCATTGGGATGACTTTTACAAATATGACTGCATCCACCATTATCTTTTAAGCATGTTGAACCATTATTGACAACGACTGAAATTATGTCAAATGCATTCAAACGAAATGTGAAACGATTTGAGCACGGACCCCCAAATAGGAATATCTCATACAGTTAAAGTCAAGACACCAAAACGTCAGAGTAAGCACGTCCCTACGGGTTTCATGATAATAGCAAGGTTATAATGAGCTTTTACTAACTATCTTTCGCGGATCTATTTAGCTTTTGATTGGTTTATAGCTCAGAATTAGGGTATCTGATTGTTTAATGTTTTCGACTTTTCGTATTGCAAAGGTATGGTTGAAGAAGTCAAATCTGGGCGCACCAATCACTTTCTGAGAAAGGCATTATTCTTTAATTAACAAGTAACTTGGTTAGAGATGACAAAGCTAAGCTAGACTCGAAATATACGTCCCAGCCTGCTTAAAAAGAGAGCTTTACGTTTTTTTCTTACCGGCCATGAAATTCATATAGTGTATACCCCTGGTTTTACACGCGGAGAATAGACACAAAGTAAATACATCACTAGTGAAGTTCTTATTCAATGTTCAATTTGAAATTTGTTGCTGGAATTTCTTTATGTATTTTGGGTGGCCAATACCCTCCTATTCACTAGCTCTTTTCGTTCCGCTGTCCCTGGTTACAGTATAACCAGGGAGCATGCGTGGTAGAGTCTTTTAACAACAATTGTGCATTTCTGTATGGCTATCAAAGAGAAAACTATTGAATAACTTTAAAAAGTTCAATTTTTCTTCTGAATACGCATTCTGCAATCTTTTGAGAGCTCATCATACACATCTGACAGCTGTGAAATTGCCATTTTGATGCCTAAGTACACACAAGGCTATTAATTCAGACGATTCGCTTTTGCCGTGTGCGAAGCTTCAAATGTTTGGCGCAAGGCATATTTTGTTGAGTATTTATAGTTTATACATATTTTTTCTCACCAAGTTTTATGTCTAAGTTTTGAGAATCGCCTAAGTATTGAGAAATCTTGCGTTCAATTTCGCGGCGTCATAACATACTAAATCTCCCGCAGTATTTTTGCCAAGTTTCCTACTGATAAATGTAAGGCAAAACATTACAGCCCACCTGAGTTCCTTGGAGCACATACATCCTTCATAGCACATCTTTCGTTCGACCTACACCTTGGACTACATCTGGAGGACGAACTTGGAGCAATATTCCTGGCAAACAACACTCTACGTCCATAAACAGTTTGCTGGTAGACAACAAGTGCTCTCCTTTGCCGAGCGTTGTAGGTAACAACAGCGCTGCGTTGGATTCCACGCACCGGATTAAAAGCCCCATTTTTCACGAGGTATCCACCAAGCCTTGCTCCCTCCTCCCAGATCATAATATGAGCGTTGCTGGTCGGCAAAAAACAAGAAGCCGAATTCTTAACATTCCTATGTTGCTGACAATTGTGTGAAATCGTTTCTTGTAAAAATAATCCTGGTATACCAACCAGACTTGACGAATTAAGTACATATCTACCATTTTCCCTGTTGTTCCAAAACACATTCAACCTGAAAAAAGAACTCGGTTAGGGGCTGTTTACATGAGCCCGGTTACTCGAGATTCAACGAAGCGTGAGAGGACTTTGAGGTATTGAAATAAGTCTTTATGACACCAAACAAGCACCAGGATTATGTTATCTGCTCATTTCAATACCTCAAAATCATCTCACGCTTCGTTGTATCGCGGGTAACCGGGCTCATGTAAACAGTCCATTAGATTAATGAATGTTATACTGAATACGGGGGGTTACAGTCGCTTCTGCTCATAACAATCGCTGTCTACTTTTTTTAAAATTGCTCAAACTTCGCATGTTTCGTATATCTCTGAACATAAACTCTCTCTCTCTCTCATATTCATTTAAAAGTAGAGCGAACAAACAAAGTGGCAAATATCCTGAAATTCGTGACATTTCAGGAAATATACGAATTCAAAATGTAAACAAACCCAACTTTAATATCTTTCAGGATGGCTCAGAAACTGTAAACCAACTAAAAATATTTTCACCTTTGGAGACTGAAAGCGGTGAAAATTGAAAAAGATCTTGATGCAAAAGGTACGCCAAAGAACTATACAATACATACACTAAATGAAGAACATTAGCACATTCACGGTTACATATGGAAGGCGCTTTTGATTCGATGTTTTTTTGGCGGCTAGCGAGATCTCCCCATTAATACATTTCCTACAAATACATATACGCTTTGAGAGATCCCGCTCGAAAGAATCGAGATCTCGCTTAGCAATGCAGCCATTTTTTATATGTTTTCTTTTTATAGTTATGAGCACAACATGACTAAAAACGAATGCTGATACTAATGTGATATGAACTTTAATAAACGCAAAGCCAATAAAGGCGTTGTAAATAATCTCTACCCCGGCAAACGGGATGAAATGCTCTCAAATAAACATAGGACATGTTCATCCCGTTTACCGTGTTGTCTCGATGACCGAGCAAGCACGGCTCCAATATAAAACCCCCCTTTATTTACGTGAGTGTGTGGCTAATAATTAACAGTGAATGAAATTTACGAGATACTTAACATACCACCCATTCCCACGTTCAAAATAGCCATCAATATGAGCATTTGCTTCTCTGGTATAACCAATCACATATCTCTTAGCCATAGCGCTGCCTATTTTCAAAAGTTCACCGGTTGCACTAGCCTTTGAAAGTAAGATTACGTAAGGATACTGCTTATGCGTGGCATCATTCCCCGACGTCAGATTGATAGCCAGGGTTGGAACTTGATAGACAATGTACACTTGTTGAATTCTGGTGTCCATAAAGAGCTTTCCTCCTAACACTAAGCCTGCATAAAACACCATCACAGTCGCGTTTCTGCCATTGGGCTTCACGAATACAGTGGCTAGATTTTTTGGCGGCCTGTTCACCACAACTGACATCACATACCCACCTGCAACCAAAGATATCCTGTTAAATAATAGAATCTAAACATTGCCAGAAATTAGTATTTTAGTATAATTTCGAGGTGACTGTTGATTCTCCTGCATTGCCTCTGAAGTGATAGCCACTGATCAGTGACAACATAGCTTTTTTTGTTACTCGGGCTATACTGTGGTAGCCGAGTCTATGTTTCGCGATTATTATTTTTTTTGTGTCGCAGGCTTAGTCTTCCGCGCGGACAGTCGCGTATTTACAGTGTATCAATATAGCTCAGTTTCACTGCACTGTATTTACCGACTACATAGCCCGAGTTAACGTCTACCGGGCGTCTTGTTTTTCAAATAGGAAATTTGATGGGATTTGATTTAGTGAAGAATTTGTAAACACACTTCGGCTTTTGGCTCAGTCAAAATAGGTATGCATTATCGAGCCTAGCCCGAGAAGACTAATTGTTAAATATTTCCACTGCTACTACCGGCGCACAATGGCGAAAATGAGGGTAATATTAACAATATAAAATAACAAAATAAATTTCAGCTTTGGTGGAAGGTGAGAGTGGCGACTGAAGGGAAGATGGGTGGGCGCGCGCTATATCTTTGCACGACCTATGCATGAGCATCGTCTGCTTTCCAACGTAGAATGGTAAAAATCGGCTTCCGCGCTACCTTTAAATCCTTTTTGTGGGCGCCTGCAACCCCCTCTTTTAAGCACTAATCGGGTATTTTAAAATGTGGTCTTATCTTGGTACCATGCGCCGGAAGTCCCAGCGGGAATATGATGAATTACGGTACCGTTCCAGGCACTACCACTATAAAATAACAATTTATTAAAAAAACCTTTTGTACTAAAGCACTTCTTTTAAACTCCCTCCCGTCTATCGTTCTCACATTCGAAAACAAAGGAATACTTACCGGAGCCAGAGTTGTACAATAAATTTGGTCTAGTTACGGGACGAAATCCATAGTCAAATCGAGAACCCACCAGACCATAAGCATGACTTGTGGTTTTGGTTTGATTGTCATAGACTTTTTGCGCAAAAATCATGTGAACGCCCCCCTGTATTAATGACGCACTGACGTGCCACGCAACCAGGTATTCTTGAGTGCTAGGATTGAATGCCACAGTCGGATGGCCTTGCTCCCCTGTGGTATGGAAACGAATTGTAATCATTCAGTACATACAAAATTTCTATAATGGTGTCGTCGATATGCTGAGCTTATATAACTATACTAGAGAGTCGATAAGCAAACAACCAAATATGCAAACATACAAGAATATTATATACTAGAGAGGTTCTATATTGTCTAACATAGCGCTCTAGCCCTTGCAGGGGTCCTGCAAAAAATTCAATCCTTGTAATCAAGTAGATAAATCCTGAGTAAATTGACCTAGATTGAACCTGGATTGAGTTTGATCCAAATACGGAATTGCTTCAAGGACCTTTTGCATTATGGCTCACTGTAGCATTGATCTATGCAATGAAAATGCATATAAATTACCACAGTGAAAGAAAGCGCTTACTTGATGCCACACGACTAAGTGTGAAATCAATCACACGGTTATCTAAAAGTCGTCCCTGTGCATTGGTACGCCAACCATACACTCGGTCAGGAATGTTGTCACTGTTCTGGTCCACATCCAAAACAACAAAATATTCATTTCGCAGATTATTATATGCAACACTGTGAGTCATTACGCTCCCTTGTATGATATTGGGCATGAATCTTGCCGGGTTAGTGCCAACATTCTCAAAACTGCCAACGAACGATATCTAAAAATAATCGATGAGAAGGTCTCTGGTAGTTCGGAGGAACGGAACAAGGTGGAATTTCGTTTTAAACTAATCGGCACGTTTGTTTTTACATTTTCCAGGGAAAGCCAATCAGAATGCCTAAATTTTTAATACTTCATGTAAAATGGTAAATCATGTACTTTTTGCCGGAAGTAGTCAAAATTTATGCACTCTGATTGGGTTACTGAAAATGTAAACAAACTTGCTGATTGATCTAAAACGAAATTCCCCTTCTTGAGGAACGGCATTATTACGTTCTCAAAATTCATAAACATTAACACTTAACTAAATATTTAGATCGAACAAGAATTGCTCAATTTTGATAGATGTGTTTTGGTAAGAAGAAATCGATTCTTGGTATTTGGTTAATTAAGGGGGTTCATTGCTAATAATATTTTTCTTTAACTTTGGATAACATTTAACCATAACCTTTTAATATTACTAAGCAAGTTATTTCGAGTCACCATAGTTACCAACCCAATGATGGAAAATGGGCGAAGAGAATATTCTCTTCAACACGAGAAATAAATCCATATTTCCAAGACAACCATGTAATAATCTATTCTGTTTATTATATGAACAAATTATAAGCAAACGACAATTCTTAGTAACTCAAAAACAAATACGTATTGAAGGGCACACATTTAAAATAACAATGTCCAGTAAAATCTTTTTAATAATAATTAGTTTCTAGTAACATAATATTTAAATTGCATACCTGTAAAAGTCTCGTTAATAAACATTGTTAGAGTGGATGTTCACCAAGAGCGACCATAGTTGTTAAGAAAATTTTAAGCCTCTAGTTCGTTGAAGACAGACTATATTTATTATGACTACTGACCCTTCATATTCGAAAATGTGCATGTGTTTAAAAAAGTTAAAAAAAATGTTTCGAATAGTATACCCGGAACTTCACTATAGTGAAGCATTAACAAATACTGGATGCAAAACTTTAGCAAAGAACCGCCATGAACTATGCGTAAATTTTTTTAAGAAAGCTAAAGGCCCTGTTACACGGTGCAATTTTTCTTGCAACTTGCAATGCAATTCTTCTTTTGAGAAATGTAAATTTGGCAACTACCGAACTTTTGTCTCTATTACAATCCGTGGCTTTTCATACACTTACATTTTGAAGCCTCTTCACTACTTAACATCTCTTGAAAGTAGAATTGCATTGCAAGTTGCCAGAAAAATTGCACCGTGTAACATGGCCTTAAGACTAATGTCAAATTGTCACACATTTCCTGCCCAATTCCCGTTTTGAGGAGAATATATAATACCTGTTTAGGGATCACTAATCTCGGTTCTTCCCCCTTGTTGTTCACAATGGTGACTGCATAATAAAGTCTTGTTCCGGTTGGAGGAAATTTATCAAACCATTTTTGTAGCTTTAGATTTCGAAGTTCAGCTATATTCTTTCCTGATGCAATCGGTTGCCTGCCCCTCACAGTTATAAAGAAGGTCGTTTCACGATAGATGTTGTAATGACTGAACTCTGAATTGCTAGTGTGGAAGTCAGGACTGAAAGAATGCATATCACAATTGAGTATTAGACTAACTGCCTTTCGGCTAACTAGACTTCTCCAGTAATTACGCCACAACTTTATCGTTTCCTATTAGGAATGTGCCTTACCAGCATCTATAATGGGCCTCAACAACACCTCTCCCCAATTACCTTCTGCTCTCATAAACAGCTTTCTCTATGATAATCCCTCTCTTATGAACACTCATTGATCGATTCTTAATTTCTTAATAAGGACACCCTCTTTAAGCGTGGTTTTCATCACTCGCAACGGTCCACAGGCATTGGTCGAAGACCAATAGAGTAGAATTTTTTTCTGATGGACAAAGCACTTTTTGCATAAAAAACCCCGACAATAGAGATCGCTGACTGTTCGCGAGTGATGCAACCCGGGCCTCAGTGGGAATCTGTATAACAAGCAATTCAATCGATTCACCTTAAAGGAAGGTTGCCTATAAGCCATCGTAGAAGTATGCCTTCACATTCTTGTCTAAGTAAAAGAAGTAGCGGGTTGGTGGTTGTGATTTGACGTTTCTTTCGCCCTTGACCAGAACTGTCTTCCTCAGTGTTCAGATTAAACCCTTCATCGCTTTCAGCAAGAACAGCTCCTGATATATTAAGTTCTGTATAAATCAAAATAGAGGTCAGGCAAAGCAAGAAATGCCACATTATTGGATTCTAATAAATTCTAAACTGTCCAGACTCACCATTAATAACAGCTGTCTCTTGGAGATCAAGTTGTTTAGGGCGATTCCTAACAAATTTTGTTTCGGAAGCACCAGAGCAATGCACGAAAAATACTGTAAAAGAAAATTATAATTCTTTCGCTTAAATTAACTACTCTTTTAATAAAATCGCTTAGCGTTCTACAGATAACGTGCAAATTACCCACAATATTGGGCGTTATTTTCACAAGTCAAACTATATTTGTACCAACTACAACTGTGTTATAAAACTTTCGCAAATCAGGAAGAAGCGCTGAAACGGAAGTTCTTTTGCGTTAACTGATGAGAATTTATTGCAATGTTCAGTAATTACTATAGGATCACAGCTAAAAGATGATAAAAATCACCCAAATGATTAATTTCGTTCCAATTATCTGAACAATAACTCCGTCTTCTCAAAAGCTCACTTTCATCAACAATGAGTTTTTTCAGATTGTGTTATAGATTGTCAACTCAGCCTATACTTATATACAAAAACACTAACTACATGTACCATAGTGTGCAATTAATTCACACTTGCTGTAAGATCAGTTGCACAAGTTGATTTAAAATTTACCTGTAACCACTAGATATACGGAGAACGCAAGTCTAGTCATGGTGTCCATCACGATTCAAGGTTTTCTGCAGAAAAAAGATGTGATATCGTTTTTATATTGAGCGAAACTGATATCGAGGAAACAGCGCTGAAACGGAAGTCCTTTTGCGTTGACCCGGGAATATTGATTTCAATAATTGTGCTAGGATCACGTCGAGAAAGGTGATGACAAGCAATTGAATAAAAAGTGCTTTCATCAGTTTTTATAAATAATAGTGTATTTCTGAAAAAAATCCTTTTCACATGTGCATGATCATTGCGAGATCAGCAGCCTTGAAATTGCCATCTTTTGAACTGCATTTAGCTAAATAAACTTGGATTTTTCAATAGTCGCTATATATACAACGCAATGCTTGCAGCACTATCCTAAAAATGCATCATAAAAAACCAGGTCAATTTAAGACTTAGACAACAGAGTCGAACTGATCGAAACTAGGACAGCCCAGTCCTTTCATCATAGTTAATAGAATATACATGGAGTTTGGAGACCACATAAAACTACAATACAACTCATTAACTATGTTGAGGTAGATTTATGCAAAAAATTGTTCCTTTCTCATCACATGTCTATTGTATTTTGCACAGATAAACCAATAGCAATCTTTTAATTAACATATTTTTCAAGTCAAGGTTGATGACCTTAGCAAGACGAATACCATTGGTAAATTTGGCTAAAATACAATAGACATGTGACGAGAAAGTGACCATTTTTTGCATAAAGCTGGACAATGACATAGTTAATGAGTTGTATTGTACTTTTATTTAGTCTCCAAACCATGCATATTCTATTAACTGTGCTTTCATCGATCAAGTAAAAATCTTTCTGTGGAAAAAAAGCTTCAACCTAAATCGCATCATAACTGATATTGAGCCCTTTGTCTAAGGAACCAGCGCTGAAACGGAAGTTCTTTCGCTTTGTTTTCAAAATTCATTAATTGCTCTTGGATCACGTTGAGAAAGGTGACAAAAATTAAATGCATGATTGTTTCAATGTACTAGAATTTTTTAGCAAATATAGAATAAACGTTATTCCGAATAACAAGTGCATAGTAAAACGCGTCAAACTTTTAATTAAACTGTCTATTTCGAATCAATTCTCATTTATAACTTATGCCATTTTCCAGAAACTTTCCCAACTTGCCTTTGTCATTCGTTACTCGGACATCACGTTAGTTATCGCACCAGAAAACAATGAACGGAACAAATGTATAATAGGATTGAGCTAATCAAGCTGAAAGATTAATGAAAAATAAAGTGAAGAAACTGTATAATATTTCAGAATCACGCGGTCATTCTGAGGTCAGTAGTCTTGACCTGTCGCGTCTATTCAAATTTGATTAGCTCAAAGAGCGAGTGGAAGGCCCTGATGAAAATATAAGTACATCAGTTGAGAAAGTGTCACACATAGTGCACCAAAAAAAATTGACAATGTATAGAAATTATCTCATTGTTCTTAAACCTTTCTTAAACGCGCGTGATGACACACAAGGGGAATTTAACGAAATTTTACTGTGTTAAACCTGGTTTCCATATGACGACGACGTCGACAAAGTATTATTGTAGGTGATTATTGATGAGAGAAATCTTTCGACTTTCTGAAATCATTTTCTCGTGCAGACAATGAGTCGGCTACAGGTCGGCGTCATATGGAAACCAGGATTTATACTACGAATAATCTGCTTTGTCAGTTGAGCCATGATTTCATTGTAAGTGGACTTTTTTTGGAATAGGAGTTATTTAAAATTCAAGAAGCTGATGTCTATGCATCTATTGACTTAGCATCGCGCTTAGGCGTACAAATTATAAACAATAGGATAATTTCTATAGGGTCAATTTTTTGGAGGAACCCTGTATTTTTGAAACAAGCTTCTTTTCATTCACGGTCGTTCCAAGAACAGTAGTCTTGACCTATAGATATCTATCAGTCAACTGTAATTAGCTTAATTGACATGGATTTTGCAATAAGCATTACGTGGGGTCCATAATCAGCCAGCACAAAAAAAAAGTAAATTGAAACTAGAACAACCTTGTGAAATCAAAACTAGAACCCCCTATTCTTGTCACCCATCAAGTTGCAAAGCTTTCTGCATAAAAAGGTTTGAAATCGTTTTTACATCGCAACGCAATTGATTTGGAGGAAGCAGCGCTGAAATGGAAGCATTAAATCAGGAAAAAATATTTAAATATTGAATAATTGCTCTTGGGATCACGTTGAGTAAGGTGATGGAAATGAACCAGATAATTTGTCACAACTTGAAAAAATACAGCATTTATTTGGTCTTTTGATCTTTCCTCTTAAAACTGAGATTAGGCAACATTTTATTTGTATTGTTTGATTGTATTCTGGGGTTATTTGCGAAAACGTCAACAGCCCACACATGCATGCATTCACATGCAATGCAACACATGCTTGCACTCACTCTAAGCAACGTGATTATTTATCGTTCTCCCAAACTCCCAAGCATGCTTCTATTTAACAATTAGACAACGAGTTCGAGTTGTCTATGAGCGAATAGTCAACGAAGGCTCACGAATAGACAATGGTTGAGTAGCCAATCAGAATGTAGGATTTGTAATAGATAATAGTCGGGTGTATACTAAAACTGTATAGAGCTTGAACTTGCCATCTTTTTAAATGCATTTGACTAAATAAACTTGGATTTTTTCAATAGTCACTATATACAATGCAATGCTTGCAGCACTGTCATAAAAATGCATAAAAAATGGTCAAATTAAAACGTAGACAATCGAATCAAAACTAGGACAGCCCAGTCCTTTCATCGATCAAGTTACAAGTCTTTCTGGATGCAAAAAAATCTTTAACTTATATCGCAGCACAACTGAAGCCTTTCACGGGCATATGAAGGCTAGTTAAAGTGACTTGCTTCACGAGTATATTTTGTTTTGTGGCAAAACTAATTGACATGGGAAGCAAAGGAATCCACTACAGCAAGATACTTTGGAAGTAGAAAACTACAATAGATGGGCTGAAACAACTCAGTACATGTCAAGTCTAGTGTAAAGTACATAAACATACCAACATACGGTACTTTCCCTGTACAAAACTAAGTAACATGAGGCGCTGACGGATGAGTATTCACGATACGATAACCATGTCCGAAAATAGCCAGCCTCGTACCCAGGCGCTTTGATAGTAAAATATATAACGTTGCATTCAGGTCTTATATAGAGGTCAACTTAAAAAAGCAAGCGCGCAGGGGTGCTTGGGGTGGTTTTGCTTCCTCGCAAAAAAACCCACCCCAAGCACCCCCGCGCGCTTGCTTTCTTCAGCTGACCTCTATATAAGACCTGAATGCATGGGCGATGTTATATATTTTACTATTAAAGCGCCTGGCCTGGGACGAGGCTGGAAAATAGCTTTGTGCCCGCCCGGGAAAGTTTCAGCCATTTCTTGGGCAAATTTAGGATAAGTCCCAAATAGTTCCATTAAAGTATATTCTAGTTTCGCCCACCGTGTACAAACGTGTTATTTGAAGTCAAAAGCAAAATACACAATAGCACACATATATATTAATAGAACAATACCTATTATTCAAAGTGAGCAAGCGTTTGTGTTTCGCCTTTGCCATCTTTCGGCGCCGTAGTTTGCTCTGAAATGAAATAAAGAAGGAAAAACTAAATCAACTTAGCAGCGCACTTGTATTTCACTTTTTTAATCGAAATAAACAAGATATAGCAGTGAAGAATATGCTTCTAGTCGCTAATGTCTTCTGGCTATTCAAATCAACACGGCGATGAATTAATTTGCTAAGCCAAAGATGAAGCCAAGACCATGTACCAACCTCGTACCATGTACCTGAGCAAGACTCACCCAACTTTTGCCTAAACTTCCTCGAGTGATCCTTTTTTCTTCAAAACTACAAAGTGTGATTTTCTTCCCAAATTCAGCCAGCAATTCAAAAACATTCCAACGCTGACAATGCACTTTGTGTGCATCGATGATACACAACAGTAAGGACTGTACATGTTTGAAATCGGTTGTGCTTCTCATGTGCCGAACGTATTAACAAAAATAGATAATGATGCATCCCTTTGATTAACTATTGTTTTAAATGCGTCAAGCACGTTTGAAACTAGCATTAAAAAGACTCATGTAAATAATGTAATTTCCGGCCCGACCGAATTTGGCAGATTTACCCGGAATAAATTAGCCGAACAAAGATTTGCAGTCTCAGGCAATATGTTTTGCTTTTTTCCATTGTCCGCAAAATGCCGGTCCGTGAAACGATCAATGGATTTTGATTCTTGTTAAAATGTTAATGGTTTCTCATACTCATACTTTCTCATATGTTGGCTTATTTACTTTTAGTTCGATACATACGGCACTATGGCACTGCAGAAAGGTACAAGTGGGTCAAATCGCCGAGCGGCGGGAATTAGAGCTTTTGCACTGCATTTCGACCTGGCTCAGAGATTAATAAAACGTAGCAAGTATTTACTAGGCATTTTGATGAATAACTTGAAAGGATTTGTTGCACTTATAGCACGAACCTGTTACGACCTTTTGAACAAGCTTTAAGGCCCACATAGACAGGGCGCGATTTGGCAACGCGACGCGATATTTCAAAGTTGTTCGATGTTTTAGTCTTAAATGTTATCTTTTGTTTCTTAATTTTTATATATTTTAAGTGGTTTCCAAATAAACTCCCATTTTAATCCTGTTTGCAGAGTTTGCAGAAAAAAGTCAGCCCAGTGTTTGTTGCATCTCTCAAACTAGTTCCCAGAGTATTTGTATTGAACTCGATAAAGACTGTAACGATAACAATCTCGTTCCCCGAGCCCGCGATTCCTCTGGCGAGAAAACAAAGGCTCCGGGATAATCCTAACCGGAAGCCAGAAATCCTGGATCCGGTTTATAACGGTTTTTTGTATTTCAAAATTGAAACGGCGTGAACGACCAATCAAAATCATTTCTGATTTCCATCATCCCAGAGCTTTTGTTTTCTCGTAGGAGGAATCGCGGGCTCGGGGAACGAGATTGGCTGCCATTTTAATTTGAAGACTGTTCTTTTTTTAGTGTTTTGTCGGCGCGATCGTTTGCGCATTGGCCACTATATGGTGCATGTCCAAACAATTCGGCATGAACAGAGTTCACTACCCTCGAATCGCCTGATCAAATGACACCCAAGTCCAAGAATACGTTTTTTAGTATTAAAATTTATGCAAACTTGCTTCTAGAATATCAAATATGTAGTTACTAATTGCAAGTCAGTCTAATTGTGCGAGAAGTGTTAACAGACGTATAATCTTAATTACGGATAGAATTTCTAGCATCAACCACCTATTTCGTCTGTAAATAATTAAATATTGCATAAAAATTTGGAGCAATTTGTATGAAAAACGAGATGATTGATAGTGCATGTACAAAGTATACTTCAGCGGCGCAGATAAATAAAGTATATAAGATACTTTTCCCAAATGACGTCTAAATATCGCAGTAAGCATGTAGTAATCGGCTCAACCTCTTGAAATATGGCACGTTTATGAACTAAAGTGGTATTATTGATATTGTATGTGACACTCTCCACACACCCCTCATACACACCCCCTTATGAATCTAGAGTATGCTGGGTGCAGGCTAGGAACATGAGTGCATTGTCAACTGTTGTCGACGTATGAGTGACCCGAAATATTAGGATTAAACATCCTAGTTTAATTCAGGGTATCTCAAGATCTTTACTAGCAATGTGGGGCCGGTTGTTCGAAAGGCGTTTAGCCTAAACGGCGGATAAGTTCAAAATGAAAAACAAACATATTCATTTATTGAACAACTCAGCCGAACTATTTCGATGTAAATAGTTTAATTGTCAATGAAAGTAGATATTTAATGCATAAGACATAAGTTCAATCATTTACAAGATGTATGAAAGTATTTTTAAGCTTTGGCTTATCTGCACCGTTAAGCTAAACGCCTTTCGAGCAACCGCTCCGTGAAGGAAAAACATCATGTCTCGGGAGCGATTACGAAAGTGAAAAACTCTGCACTAACATGCACTATCCTTGGATTCCTAGTTTTGTCCGACAACGTATTGTTCATCAATACGCAAGTGTTGAAGTGTTATTGACGTTCTGTTTCAGCCAGGAATGTGACGTTTCTATTTTACGAGAACATACAATTGACTTTTCTAAGGGCGGATTTCCTCTCACGCGTTTTATACGAGCATACACACTTAAAAGTTTAAAACCATGTACGTTGCTAGCTAAGTGATTAATTCTACGTTAGCAGAGACAGTAAATCATCATCAGAGCCCAATCCTGAGAATCTATTTCTTTGATAGTTTTACGCGTATCATTTTTTTACTTGACGTTGGTCAGAAATTGGTTGTCGCTTTTGTAGACTGTAGTGATTGCCATCTCATGATTTTTCTTATCCATACGCAATTTTGAGTTTATACCGTAAAGACATCGATCGAAAATATGAAGAGGTAGAATTGTCGCAACAGCACACTTTGGACTCTGTTTGCCGACCTCTGGTTAATAGGGCAGCCTTTTAAAACGACTTGGTAGCAGAATTTTTACTTTATACATTTCTAGAATCTGGGAAATTTAAAAATATGTTGCTCAAAGTTTTAACTGTTCTCTGTCAACGAGCATAAAAATCAATTACTTTTTTACGAATATTTCAATTCAGAGAGTATATAATCCATTGACGTGCAAAATACCACGAAACGTTGTTCGAGATCTTGCTTTTCGTATATGTGAAAAATTCTATAAATTCCTCTGTCGGTCTCAGTGTCTCGTCAACTGCTTTAAAAAAATGACTTCTTCAGGTTATGTACATATTTGAATACAATAAGTTGGCAGAACGTAGAAATACCCAAGGTATACGTAATTCGATCATGAAAATATATAAGAGATTCCTTCAATAAACATTATTGTTAATATAGTGTTGCGAAACGGCTGTTCTGTACTTCAATTTTATATAGTGAATTGCATAGTGAATTATTTTTAGTATACATGCGACACTCAAACGTCACACATTTCTGGTGAATACAAAAACGCGATATTGGAAATCAGCTTCAAGTAACAAGCGGAACTGGCTGCGTTGTTTTAAAAAATCCGAACAGATATTTCTTTCTTTGTTAGAAATAAAAGATACCAACAACAATTAATTCTAGAGTAAACGAGTTCCAGTCTAATGTATATATTTACCATATGTATTATTTTAAGGAGGCACCATGCACATATTCGTAGAATATGGCCTTGAAGTTGATTTGCTGCCTGCCAGCCTATTTTCCTGTGAACGTGCTGAACGTTTACCAACCAACCTCTCAAAACTCTCATATATACGCATCATAAAATCTACGATTTTATGTAAGGAGAATTTCATTATTGATATTTCGAAAATAATTGTACTTTTTGAAAAATGTGATATTTTCTTTATATATTATAGTAGCCAATCAAAATGACCACAGGGAACGTCACTACCACCTTTCCGCTAAACACTAAACATGGATCGCGGTTGAATGTCTTAGCTACTGTGTATGTATTTCTAATCATATTTTCCTGTAGGAGTAAGACCTACAATTAGGTAGAGTTCAATTATAACTTCGTGTGTAAATAATAAACTATTTATATATGAGAACAATATAAAATAAATTTTGTTAGTAGTGAATAAATTTCGTTGCTATATATTAAAACAACATAAGACAGTCAACAAAATATTTGGCAGGAACCCGCATCCACTAAAAGTGTTTTTGAGGAGTATTCCAAGAACCGTCCATTGGATTAAGTCTGTTTGTTTATTCAGTTTCCCGTTAGGCTTCAAAATCTAGTACTATTTGACAACTTGTTGTTTCTGAATCCACTCAGTCCTGTACGAAACTTGAAAGTGGTGTTGCTTATGAACAAAAATCTCGTTCAAACACAAACAAGTCAAAGATGCTCAAAATATTCGTCGTCGCCGTTGCTTTTTGCTGTGTTTTGACAAGCATCCGACAAGTGAATGCCAGTTGTAAGAAATGTTACGGTAAGCAGATCGTAATAACGAATATTTTTTGTTTGAATATTTCTATAGCCTGTATCAATGCAGTTGCAGACCAGTCCCAAAAATCTTAAAGTTAAATTTCTTACCAAAATTTTAGGTAAACCCTGCGCCCAGGATCCAAAGGATAGAGTTGATTGTGGTTATCCTGGAATAACAAACGAAGAATGTATAAATAAACACGGCTGTTGTTGGGATTATAGTAACAAACCACAATGTTACTGCCCTGCAGGTATATGTTATTTATGAAAAGCCTATCTGTCGTCTCACACATGCATGGCATATAAAAATGTAACACTGCATTGAAGTTTCTTAGATTTGTAGCCATAAGCAGAATAAGTTCAAAGCAGTAACAACACGGGTATTCATGGGGATATATGAACCAATTGGGCCTCCAAATTATAAACAACAACGCAAAAGTAATTAATGAAGGCTGCCGTTTGACAAAATAAAAGAAAAAAATTAAACTGGGTACATTTGAGCATTGCACGTTACACGCAGACAATTTCGATTGCGCATTTGAACACCCAGAGGTAACTCTAATGGCGGCTGGATTTCACGATATCTCACGGCGCTTCACGCCGATTCGAGATTCGAACGAAAAAGATTATATAAGACTTAAAGTATAAAATTTAAAAACCTTAAAATTGTGGAAGTATCGTTGCTCTAAATTTAAATGCATTAAAGCTACAAAATCATAGCAGGCCAAACCAAACACAATTTTCTGCATGCTCTTGCAATCAAATAATTATAAAAAACAACTATAGAGCAATGATAGCTATCTCAAAATTGTAAGAAGAGTCCTCACATAGTTTGAATTCCTATAGTGGAGAAAGATTTGGGACTTTTACCACTTGCCGCTTTTAAACACTATTTGCATTTGTTTTCCAGCTTAATACTTCATCATATATACGTAATTAAACTGTGTAAATGTAGTTGTGTGAAGGGGTATTTCAATGTATCCTTCTTCTTTCGCCGTAGTCCCACGAGGATAAATATCGCTCATATAGTTGGTTAAGTTAAATCTTTTACTAATAAATTTTAGGTAAACCCTGCTCCCATGACCCAAAATATAGAGTCGGCTGTGGTAATCCTGGAATATCAAATCAGGAATGTACATATAAATATGGTTGCTGTTGGGATGAGAAAAATAGACCACATTGTTTCTGCCCTTCAGGTATAATATTTTATTTTTTTAAAGATATTTTGTTTTTACACACATGAGATAGAAGTGTAACAGGTGCAGCTAGGAAGAAAGAGTCAAATGCAATAAATTCATTTGAATATATAAACCAATTAGCTTTCATGATGGCCTCCCAAATAAAAACAAGACTTTCTCAAGACTCTTTCCTTGATGAGTAGTAGAATGGTCTGTCGTTTTCCAAAATAACAGAAAAAATTATTAAGGGCACATTCAATTTTACAAGACTTTTACTTGCAGACATGCTTACTCGATTTCGCATTTGCACACGCAGAATAACTCAAATTATCGGTTTTTTAATGTACAGCTGTAAATGATTGAACTATCATAAGATTATTATTATTTCGTTAGGTTTTTAAAGGGTCTTAATTTCGAGTGGAACTATACACACTTCAAATTCAATTGTTCCTGGCTTGAATTTGAAGTGTGTATAATTCCACACGAAATTAAGACCCTTTAAAAAACCTCTAGAATTTACCTGCATCGAGTGAAGTGCCAAAAATCATATTCATTATTTTTTCGTTACTCTCTTGTAATGCTAGAAACTAAAATGACATTTTATTTCATTTTACTGTATAACAACAAGTATATTCCCGAATTGTATGAAAGAAATTCCTCTGAAATCAATTGACCTGAAATATTTTATCATTTCATCATGTGTAAAATAGCGTTATTTATAGCCGGTACAAGTAAAAATAGGATAATTTTTACGAAAAATCGAGCTTGCAGTATGTGAAGATGTAAATAAAACGTAATTTACAAGTCGAAGGATATATTCACTGCATTGTGTTGTCATGAAATTTTGTAAATGATATATCATTGTTACGTGCTGAAACACAAAAAAGATATTCCTTTGATCTAAAATATGCCTGAAAATACTAAAAGAACCTGCAAACCCCACGCGCTTCGTGTTCTTGATGTATTATTATTCACACACATGCGCAGAAGCGATCTTGCCGAATCGATATTTTGTTACGTCAGCAGTTCAGACTCGCCCATATAGCTGGACGATTCCTACTAATATATAGGTCTAGTCATTCACGAGAATATATAAACCAATTAATTTTTAAAGAGAAAACAGTTACCGTGTTCTGAACCCCCCCCCCGCCCCGAAAAATGTAAAATTTTACTCATATGGGCAAAGGATTTTAATTTAAATTAACTTGTCAATAAATTTTAGGTGATGGCTGCCTTTGTGTGCCACCGAAACGTAGAGTTAAATGTGGTAATTACGATCCAGACATATGCGAGGAAAAAGGCTGTTGTTGGGATAAGAGCTTCCAACCACAGTGTTTCAATCAACCCTGAAGGTAAAATGTGTTATTCATCTAAAGCCTAAGCGACTGAATATAAAACTGCAACATTGCATTGAAGCTTGCCAGACTGCAGTTGAGAAGGAACAGTCCAATTTATTAATTATATATCAAAAATAGAAACCAAATGTTTTTCAGCAATAGCTGAAACTATTCTTAACTAGACTTAACTAGGGCTAGTCAAAATAAACTATTATGCACACACTTTGTCAATTTTGCTGGGTTTTTATTCATCCAACCAGCATTTGAATATATATATAAAATGTATTAAACGGAAACATAAAACGTAAAACCGTCAGAATCACAGACGCAAACGTTTTGGTAACCAAATTGTTTTTTATTTTTTTATATTAGTCCATTTTTTATTTAGTCATAACATAATATCGTCGTGAAGAAGTCATTTATACCGATGAACTTTTTTTAGAAATGTAAAACTAATAGAACCGTTATTCAGGTAGTTTGAATTGCTTTAGTCATTTTTAGGCCCGGTCTTGGCGTTTCACTTTAGTCGCATCGAATGAAAACGATGGCTGTTGAGACTGATGTCTTATTTCTTACACACTTCTCCCAAAATCAGTGTTTCTTTTTAATTGTATGAGGTCTATCGGTTTTATGTCATCGCTTTTACGTCTGGCGGATTCAGACACAGCTTATAGATTCTATCTACGCCGAAAAAGGCTCCGAAAATAGTGAATTTACAATATTTTTTATTTGTATAATTACAAAGGTGCATGAATATCACTGATTACAGTCTCGACTTCGTCTCGGTCTTTATTCAGCGGTACTCACCTTAAGTATATTTTGAATGAGGTTCATACCCAACCAAATTTCAAGAATTAGATCATATGTACACCCCATATAAATTAGTTTGAATAGATATGCAAATCAGTTACAAACACTAGTGGTTGTATTGGAAAAGATCTATTCAAATCTATTCAAGTTTTATTTATTAAAAATTCAATTCACAAGTTGTTTATAACACTCGCGGGCGTGTTGTATTGAACGGCCGCTCGTGTTGTAAACATACTAATAACTTGTAAAATCAGTGAGTCACAGGGGTGGATCCAGCACTAGTGCACAAATTTGCATTACAAACAAAATGGTTATTTTTAGCAGTTTTCTTGTGTCATGCAAATTAGTGCACTAGTGCTGGATCCACTCCTACAGTGAGACCTAAAGCTATACAACTACTTAAAAAACAAACTCTATATTTATTTTTTTAGGACTATGAGAAATGGATTTTTCCGAAGTGATTTAAAGGAGGTTTTTTATTTTACGATAGACATAGAACTTTCTTTCTTAATCAAAGGGGCATATGATAAGAATATAATGTTAGTTTTATGGTTTAGTGCATGATAAGGGTTATTTTCTCCTAAGCAATAACTTTTAATTATGATTCTATTAAAATTATGAAGAAATTTTCTGCAGTAAACCAACTACGAATTCTGTCTGTGTCTATATTAGTCTGTCAAGAAACTATAGTAAATTTCTCGCAAAACAATTAGGCTACCTCTCGACTTAATTCTTATAAAGATATAGTCATATCAAACTGGAAATGCTACATTTTATGACCCATCCTCTGACTTTTTCTACGTAATATTTTAGTTATTTCGGAAAAAGGAGAGAATTACAATTGCAAAATAGCAGTAATACATGGAAATGAAAACTTTATCCCGATCACGGAGGACAATCATCTCTAGCTTGAAGGGTCAGCCTTATTTTTTACGACTGTGCAGAGTCAGGGGAAGGTATGTTTGGAAAATAATGAGTATGAAATACTAAGAAGTTAGATTATACGAAAGGAATCTGATCAATTTAAAATAATGGCGCCTGTCGATTATGTCCAATTATTAATTAATTTCACAGTAATCACGCAGTTATCGACTCAGAATAGACCTTTCCTATAATAACGTCAAACGCATAGAATCTGATGTTACACGAAATTTAATTGGCTCCACAAAACTATCGAGCCAATTAGCTGCCCTAAACGCGTGTAAAGAAAAAACTACGCGTATTGTGTTTATCGAGCGGTACGTGGAAGAAGTGAAAAACTTTGTACAACCCTTGGATACCTATATAGTTTTGTTTCATCGCGCGATGTTCATCGATAATTATAAGTGTTTAATTGATAGTAAACATTCTGTTTCAGCGGGGAATGCGACGTTTTCATTACGATGATAATTGACGTTTCTAAGGGCGGATTTCCTCTCTCGCTTTTTATACGGGTATGCACACGCACTCACAAGTTTAAAAGTATATGCTCATTGCTATGTGTTGAAATTTACGTTCCTTCGCAGAAAAACACTAAATCATCAGCAGAACCTAATCCTGAGCACGCGTTCATTCGGTGGATATATCGGTAATATTTTTCGTATATGTGAAAAATTCTATCAATTCCTCTGTCGGTCTCAGTGTTTCGTCAACTGCTTTAAAAAAATGACTACTTCAGGTTACGTACACATTTGAATACAATAAGTTGGCAGAACGAGAAATACCCAAGGTACGCAATTCGATCATGAATATATGTAAGAGATTTCTTCAATAAACATTATTATTGTTAATATAGCGTTGTGAAACGGCTGTTCTATTTATCCAGAGTACTAGTTCGGCAAACAGGGACCATGGCATGCAAGGCCAGGGCGACGGCGATTTCAAGTTTTGTACTTCAATTTTAATAGTGAATTATTTTTAGTATACATGCGACACTCAAACGTCATACATTTCTGGTGAGTACAAAAACGCGATATTGGAAATCAGCTTCAAGTAACAAGTGGACCTGGCTGCGTTGTTTTAAAAAATCCGAACAGATATTTCTTTATACTGATATTATAGTGCAATCAAAATGACCACAGGGAACGTCACTATAACGTTTCAGTCAACAAAATATTTGGCAGGAACCCGCCTCCACTAAAAGTGTTTTTGAAGAGTATTCCAAGAACCGCCCATTGGATTACGTCCGTTTGTTTATTCAATTTCCCGTTAGGCTTCAAAATCTAGTACTATTTGACAACTTGTTGTTTCTGAATCCACTCAGTCCTGTACGAAACTTGAAAGTGGTGTTGCTTATGAACAAAAATCTCGTTCAAACACAAACATATCAAAGATGCTCAAAATATTTGTGGTCGCCCTTGCTTTTTGCTGTGTTTTGACAAGCATCCGACAAGTAAATGCCAGTTGTAAGAAATGTTATGGTAAGCAGATAGTAATAACGAAATTTTTTGTGTGTGAATATTTCCATGGCTTGTATTAGCCAAATATCTCCTTGTGCGTTCCATACGATAGTGGAAATATGGTTGCTTGCAAATTTAATAGGCCCTATATTAAATTAGGGCAACAAAACATAGCAGTTCAATAAATGCGTTCTATAAAACATAGCATCCCCGAGGTCTTCACGAAGTCTTCACTTAGCTTAGTATTTTAGCGGAGAAAGGTTTAGGACTTTTGACTTTAAAACATACCACCATTTGTGTTTGTTTTACAGATTGTTATTCCATACGTTATTAAACTGTCAGTGGTAATTGTACGAATCGTCATGAAAGGGATATTTCATTGTATCCTTCTTCTTCCATCGTAATCCCCCAATGCAAAATCTCGCTCATACACCTGGTCGACGCACTCGCTCATATAGCTGGAGTTAAATTTCTTCCAGTAAAATTTCTTAGTAATTATTATTATTAACAAATATTTATACAGGATAGGAACTTCAGTACCACATGCACATAATTACTTATCTACAATGGGACTGCTATTAATGTTCGTCCTGTAATAATTTCAAATAATAAATAACTAACTAATAAACTGATAAATTTTAGGTAAACCCTGCTTTCAGAATCCAAAAGAAAGAATTCCTTGTGGGCGTGATGAAAAAACAACAAATTAGGAATGCATAAATAAATATGGCTGTTGTTGGGATGACAAAATCACACCACATTGTTTCCGCCCTGGAGGTATAATCTGTTATTTGTTTCAAGCCATTCTGTCTTCTCACACATGGCATAGACTTGTAACAGTTCTCAGTTTGCAGCTAGGAAGGAACAGTCAAGAGCAATAACAACAAAGGCATCGATGTGAACATATAAAGCAACCAGTTTTCATGTAGGCCTCCCAATTAATAACGGGAAAGCAAAAGTAATTCATGAAGACTCTTTGCTTGAAAAGTGGAATAGTCTAATCACCGACTGGATTTAAAGTATAAAATTTAAAAACATTTCAACGGTAGAAGGATGGTTGCTAGCAAAATTATTATATTAATAAATGCAGGCTACAAAATCATAGCAGTCACAGCATGATGACGATTAAATTAATACAACTGAGAAATTGAGGTGAGTGCTCGCATAGCTTGAAATCCTAACGAAATTTAGGAGTTTTTCCACTCTGCCGCTTTAATACACTATTTGTGTTTGTTTTGCAGCCTGTTACGTCATACATAATTAACTACAATTGTATATAAGTTGTAATGTCGTTGTGTGAATTGTCGATGAAATGATTACTTCATTGTACCCGTCTATACCTCCACCGTGATCCCTCAAACTAAAATCTTGCTCATATAGCTGGATGATCTTAAGTTAAATTTCTTACCAATAAATTTTAGGTAAAGCCTGCTCCGTGAATATGGATAAAAGAGTTCCTTGTGGTGATCCTGAAATACCTAACCAGAAATGTATAAAAATATATGGCTGTTGTTGGGATGACAATAACAAACCACATTGTTTCTGCCCTGCAGGTATAAATGCTTTATTTATTTGAAACCACTTTGTGCAAAACGCTAGTGCAATGAAGTTTCTCAAATTTGCAGCTAGGAAGAAACAGTCAAATGAAATGCAATATAACAATATAGGCATTCATGAACCAATGTAGTTCCGTTTACACTACACTAAATTTATCGGCACGGCACACATAAAATGGGTACCAGTGCCAACTTTATCAGTGCTCGGCCTTTGCATTTGTAGCCTGAACACAAATAAATCTGGACACGCGTACCAATTTTAGCCGCGCCGTGCCAATAAATTGAGTGTAGTGTAAACGGGGCTTTAGTTTTCATATAGGCCTTCCAAATAAAAACAAAGGAAAAGTAATTCCTCAAAACTCTTTTCTTGAAGAGTGGAATGGTCAGTCGTTTGATAAAATAAAAGAACAAATTAAACAGGGCACATTTGAGAAATGCCTGTTACTAGCAGACAACCTCGATTTTGCATTTAATTGCACACGCAGAAGTAGTTGAAATCACCGCTGATATCAATCCAATTTAATTCAATTTCTTATTAATGCATTTAAATTTAAATTGTTGCCAATAAACTTCAGCTGATAGCTGCCTTTGTATGAATCCGAGAAGCAAAGTTAAATGTTATTATGGTGATCCACAGACATGCGTGAATAAGGGCTGTTGTTGGGATAACAGCACCTCACCACGGTGTTTCGAAAAACCCTAAGGTAAAATGTGTTTTTGGGCTGTCCATGCATTATTTTTGCCACCCAAATTTGTACTTTCCTTAGCATGACAAACAGCGAATAATTGTAAAATTGGAACTTGTTATGTCAGTGAAACCCAAAACCATGCAACTAATTTAAAATGAATATTATAACTCAGTAAAACATATATATTTAATTTTTTTAGGTCAGTGAGAAATGGTTCTGAAAGAATTTTTTTATTTTTCTGACATGATTTAAGGGATTTTTTATTTTACCATAGATGTAAAACTTTCTTGATTACTCAAAGGTACATTTGATTATAGTTTAAAAAGACCATGTTAGTTCTAGGATTTAATGATAGGGGTTTTTTATCATAATCAGTTAACTGTTAATAGGATTGTATTAAAATCCTGACGGTTTATCATGAAATTTGCTGTAGTAAACTGCGATTTCTATCTATTCTAATGTTAGTCTGGAGCTGCATATCCTGTCATCAGACCACATACTAGACGCGTGCTAAGAATTTGTTTGCTAGCTGTCATGTCAGCTGCTCTAAGCGTGTAAAGGAAAAACTACGTATACGCGTATTGGGTTTATTGAGAAGCAGAAGTGAAAAACTTTGCACTACCCTTGCATGGATACCTCGTTTTGTTTGTTCGCGCGATTTTCATCGATAATTAAGTGTTTAATTGATAGTAAACATTCTGTTTCAGCTGGGAATGCGACGTTTCCATTACGAGAATATATAATTGACGTTTCTAAGGGCGGATTTCCTCTTTAACGTTTTATACGACTATGCACGCACTCACAAGTTTATGCTCATTGTTATGTGTTGAAATTTACGTTACTTAGCAGAAGCGCACTAAATCAGCAGAACGTAATGATAACCTTTATTCGTTGGATATATGCGTATTATTTTATATGCTTCTGAAACTTGATTACTAGTGACAAGATGACTGTCGCTTGTGTATTAATTTACATCTGATCAATGCACATGATGCTTCGTGTTTTACCGTAAAATACATTGAGTGGAAATATAAACGTAAAATAGTTTAGAGCAACAGACTTCGGGACCCGTTTGCCAACCCCTAGATCAATGACAATGGTTGATTGCTTGTTAAAATGTAGTTCTTTCGTGTTTGTGATATAAAATTCAGTGCATTTTGAAGTGTTTTGTCAATTAGTATATAAATCTCATCATAGTATTTACGCATTTGAATACAATCAGTTGGCCGAACATAGAAATACCCAAGGTAAGTAATTCGTTTCAAAAACGTTGGGAAACGACTGTTTTATTGATCCAGAGGTCGGTAAATAGTGATTAAAGTAATTGGCGACGAGGACCTAAGGTTTTGTGCTTTTATTTTATGTTTGTGCATCAGTATACATTATATAGAACTCATCACGTCACAAATTTCTGAGGAGTACAAAAACTCGACATTCGAAGTCAGCTTTAAGTGGAACTGGCTGGGTTAGATTAAAAAACCCCCATGATATTCGTTGCCTCTAGTTCGGATGGAAATAAAAGATACCAAAATATTATGTTTTGGCCGTGTTTGCTTTGTGTGTTATGTTTATATATTATGTTTTGTTTGCGGGGGTGACTTGCATAACTTAGCTTCAACTTCTGATCAGAAGATTATTTTTATTTAACTGATTAATAGTCTAATACTGAAATAAATTTTGCAAGTAAAATCGTTTTCGTGACCGCAAAATGAATATGATGAAGAGGGATTCGATCGCATTCTGCGAAAACCAAAGGGTACTTGAAGCGTATTTACGAAAACTGCCCTTTTTTAATTACTCAATTTCCGGATAGACTTCAAATTCTAGTACTATTTGAAAACTTGTAGTCTCTGGGTCCACTCAGTTCTGTTCGAACCTTAGAAGAGATATTGTTACTTCTGAACAAAAAAGATCGCTCAAACAAGATGCTTAAGACATTCCTGATTGTTGCTGCACTTTGCTGTGTCTCGACAAGCATGGATGGTAAGCAGCTAGTGTAATTTTTAATATATTTCTGGTCCAAATATTTGCATGGTTTGTATCATATCTATATTCCGTTTGCAGACCCGTCTCAAAATCTTCTTGCATGTGTGTTCGTAGCTTAATCGTATACATAATCATATGCAGCTGCATGCCGTGGCCAAGGAACTCAGTTGGAAATAAAAAATCGAGGGTGACCTGCATTCAGGGGCCAAGTTTTGTAGTGTTTATATTCGAGAGGAAAAGTGTTTGGCGCACATCATTAAAAACGCTTAGCAAACGTAGAAAGCATCTAAAAAGTATGTCTACAATATAATCTAAAATTGATATTAAAATAAGAAGACTTGAAGAAAGTGACACTTTAATTGGTTTCAAGAAAAATATAAAGGCATGCATTCCTTGGTATAATAAAAAAACGTTTCATAGAATGTCTAATGTTGCTCAATCAAATAATCTATATGGTATTATGTTGGTCGATATTCAGACAACACAGCGTGTTTTAAAAGTATAGAAGTGTTGTGAACCCGCTAAATGTTGTTCGACATTGTTCGACATTCAGATCGAAGCACATCGTACTTTAAAAAGTTTAGAAGTTCAACGATATTATCTCCCATTGCAGGAGATCGCGCGCGACTCGATAACGCGTTATTTGCAATGGAAAATGCATTAACCACCGGGGAGAAATAAAAGCGGAAGTCGTGATGCTACGTCACATCATGCGACAAATGACCATTGAACATATGACCAGGAAACATCATGTTTTGCGGACTCTTGATTACTATGTTTGAAACATAAGTGGTCTCGGGTCCACAAAACACGATGTTTCCCTCGGGTTCAGTGCAGTAAGTCCTAATTACCACCGAATAAGATATTTTACAAAATTCGTTTGAACTTTCTACAAATTTAGACAATAATAACTTTTTTCGCTAATAAATTTTAGATACTTCCTGCTCTTGTGTGCATCCAAACTATAGAGTTGATTGTGGTTATGATGGAATTAGATGGAGAGAATGTGTATTAAATGGCTGCTGTTGGGATGACAGTATCAAAGATACAAAATGGTGCTTCTACCCTGCAGGTATAATGTTTTATTTGTCTGAAGCCATCCGACTTTTCATTGGCATGCATCAAAATGCAGAAGTGCATTGACGTTCGTCAGGTTTGCATCTACAGGAAGAAACAACGACACAGACATTAATGTAAATATAAACGGCTGGGAGATTATATTTGATGATGCTGACCGTGATATTTTTCACGTGTGAAAAATGAAATTAATTTACACAGTGAAATACGATTTTTATTTCATCATTCTGCTGTGCATAAATCTCAATACAGATATAATAAATCTCTATACACATATAACAATATGATATAATGATTTAGATAAAATTTCATAGGCAGCTATGCTGTATAAATCTTATCTCGAACCAGATGTGTTAACAGATATTCCTCATCTGAACCACATGTGTATCCCATGTAACCACATGTGCATTACATGTGGTTCACATGTAGACTCCATATAACCACGTGTGTTCACATGTGAATCACATATGGTCACATCATGAAACACATAATATGGTTTGCATGTGTTTTTTTTTCGTAAGGGCTGTTTCAACATATAATGTAAAATGTTCTCTATATATAAATATTGATATACAAACTTAATTGAAACTTTTTATTAATAAATTTCAGGTAATTGCTGCTCTTCCGTGCATCCAAAACAAAGAGTTAATTGCGGTTCTTATAAAGAGAAGGATTGTGTGAAGAAAGGGTGTTGTTGGGATGAAACTATCATAGGTGTATACCGGTGTTTCTATCCAGCAGGTATAATGTTTTATTCCTTTGACAGAATAAAGATGGAAGAAATTAAATTGCCCATAGTTGAACGTTGGAAGTTCATGTAGAGAATCTGTTTTACTTAGCCTTACACAAGACGTTACAACACATTCGCTTTAAATGTGATCTTTGTGTTTGATCCTTTAAGGGATCTTTTAGTTCTTCAAAAATGAATACTTGCTAATATATTTTAGGTCATAATTGCCTTTGCGTGCGTCCAAAAGATAGAAAAGAATGCGGTTATCTTGGAATTAAAGAGGACGAATGTGCCAAAAAAGGCTGTTGTTGGGATAGCAGTATAAAAGATGCAAAATGGTGTTTCTACTCTTAAGGTACACTGAGTCATTAGTCTGGCGTCATTCCGACTTCTCTCTCGTTGGCATAGAAATGCAACATTGTATTGAAACTTGTCAGATTTGTTATTAAAAAGGAACAATCGATCTACTAAACTACATGGGCATTCATACTAAAATATAGGAAAGGGATTCTTGATGTTACAAGGAGTTTGATCGTATGGCTCGTTATTTTGCGGAGCCAATCAAACTTCATGTAACATCATGCCTTTTGCGTTTGACGTCATTTTGAAAAAGGTCTATCAGTTTTCATATATAGATCATATTACAACAGCAAAGCAAAAGCTATTAGCTTCAGATGTGATAGTAAAGACAGTTTTCTGTACGAGTGCAGCTAGGGGCCGCCGACGATTCGGCAAATATTCATATATTCACGTTCCGCATTATTAGTTTCTTTCGAAATTGATTGTTTCTACGGTCTGCCCACACGAATATATGAATACCCCCCCCCCCACTTAACGATCTTCCGCGGACCCTGAGTACAACAATGAGGCTTATAGTTTAAGATTCAAAGGACCTCACAAAGCATAGTTAACATAGTTGTTTTGCTTTGGCATTTTTATCAAGTCTTTTATTTATTGCTGTCAATGTGAGTAAAATATTGTGAATATTGTGTTTATTAACTGAGCGTTAAAGATCATAATACATTGTTTTCATTTTCATTTCAATTTCTTAGGGTATTGAAAAAAGGATTCTGACGGATTTTGGGATTTTTCTGACATGATTTCAAAGATTTTCGATTTTACCATAAGTATAGAACTTTTAGTTACTCAAAAGTGCAATTGATTACAGCTTAGGGGGATATGATTTTAGGCATAGGTTTACTACCAATAGGGGTTATTTTGTCCTGATCAGTTTACTCTTTACGTGGTTCTATTAAAATGTTTTGCCTCTCATCATTTGCAGTGGCTAAACTAGCTGCGACTTCTGTCTGTGTCAATGTTAGTCTGTCAAGGGAAACAGGAAGTAAACTACCTCGCGTAGCTATTAGACGTTAGCATAGCCTGTGCCCCAGTCCACTATGCGCTCTAGTAAGAGCGTACAGTGAACTGGGGCACAGGGCTAAGGTTAGCACAGCATGTCACGATGAACACAGTTTATGTGGCATAGAAAGTGGTTATAAAAAATCGTCATAAATAAATGAAGTACGGGATTCTGATATAGTCAGCAACGAAGTAAGATTATATGAAAATAACCTAATCAATTAAGGTGTACCAAATAGCGGCTGTTGTATTACCAGTATGCATATATATAAGTTCGTGACTGGATGAGAGCCGCATGCATGCACCAATTTGCATTTCAGCCATGCATAACGCCCTTCAACTTTTACTACAAAATATATAGCCTATAAGTAATAAACTTAACATTGCCGTTCGTCTGGACATTGTTCAGTGTTTGCCGACCTCTGGATCAATCGAATTTCATCTAGACGCAGGCTAGGAATATATATCGCCAATCGCATGTTGTCGATAATATAATGATGAGCAATGAAAAATATAGGAACAAATTACAAACGTGTATTTTGATTGAAGGTGTTTGGGTAAAAAACACGAGAATGTGGTTTTGCATGACAGAAAGTAGCAAAAATGAGAAACTTTGGGCTATCTTTGGGTCCCTAGTTTTATCGCTCGAAGTTCAACCAAACATAAGTGTCTGAATGGTAGCTACATAGACCTTCTTTGTTGGCATGAACAGACACGGCAGAGATTCGTATTTATGAAGGACGGTTTAAATTTTGTTATTTCTGCATGTCGCCGTTGAATTTTCTATTGTATTTGCACCTCCCCCCCTCTACAAGGTGGCGTCTCTAACTTTGGAAGGGTCTATTAACAATATACACAAGTTTATTAATTCGAGCAATTTGTTTTTACCCTGTTCAAGCTTGTTAAGCATTTATAATTGAATCTTTTTGTTCACCAATATCGAAGTCTTAGTAGCTATATAAAGAATCTCGGCTACGTCTATATGACACAGGGGCTGCGCAAGATTCTTAGGTAGGAGGGTGGGGGTTTTACAGACCGTAAAAAATAAATACACTATGCAATTTTCCTTGCAAATTGCAACTCGCAAACGTTAGCCGATCGTAAGAAATGTTCGTACTTCGTAGTTGTCAATTTTAGATGCCCCAGCATGCAGCAGAATTGTATTACAAGTTGCAAGAATACTGTTGCATGATCTAACACCGCCTTTATAGTTGGTGAAGATTCTGCAAATCGAACTTGAATTTCAACAATTGAATGTACGGAATAACTTCGGTGAAATGCACAAGTTAATCGATACTTTTTCTCCTATACACGATGCCTTATAGTTTTCATATTGTGTGTTGCATGCTTGTGTTACTATCTGTTTAGTAAATTTGGTGTTTTGAAGTACTGCAGTTTACGTTTAAAAGCATCGGCAACTGGATTTCAAGCTTAGTGTCCTAATCAGATCTCGTTATAAATAAAACATGGCAGCAGGTAGATGAAGACGATCGAGGCATTGTTAAAACTCACTAGTGATTCTTCCATCCTCTTTAATAAATGGAGTTGAGGTTTTTTATTCAGGTAACTTTAATCAAACTAATAATTTTTTTTGTCTCAATTAGGCAACAAAGTCGTATTTTTTAGTTATCAGTCTTCTCTTGATCTTCTTAGCAGGAGTATCAGTATGGGGGATTGTTTGCCGTTCTCAAAGGGTAATACAATTGACACGATTGGTTAATACCAAGGGATGACACGATGCACATTGCATATGGCATAGAATATGAAAACACGAATTATTCGCAGAGTTCGTCTATTTCGACGGCGAATGTGAATGGGCAGTTCATCTTAACGCATCATCCGTCTGTTAGTATAAATACGGAGTGGGGAGGAACTACAAAAAATTCACCATCTTGTGCACTCTTTTTACCACATTGTAATTTCCAAATCCCCGTGCATTTAATTTCTTAAATTATAACGCACGACTCTGTTTCGTTTAACGTATTTGTCTACATAGTTCGCATAGATAGTGCATAGGTCAAATTGAAATAACCAATGGCGTAAGATTGATACAACCAGTGGCAAGATTGAAATAACCAGTGGCGTAGCCAGCCTAACGATTTTGTGCCGCTATGTAAATTTCGAGTTATTACAATTATTCATTTCCTTAGAAATTTATTGTTTTCACAGTCAATACCAAAATATTAGCATAGAGGGACAAATCGCGCTGCAGGTGGGCTACGCTACTGGAAATACCTATACCAAATCTATCAAACTAATAAGCATTTGCCATTAACCATTGCTCTTTAAAGGCAAACGAAGACATCATGAAAAGCGAATCCGCTATAGTGTAAACGGTCCTTATGCTCGACTGATTTTAATTGACAGCGATAGTTTCCATAGCGACACCCCTAAGGGGTGCCGTTCAAAAAAAAGGGCGGATTTACGCTGTCACGCGTCTTGGTACGATCGTTCAATTTGATACAAAAAAGATCGTTAACACAGGCAACCTTGCGTAAACTCGAGAGCATGCATGCATCCCGCCCCACTAAAAGGCTACTTAAGAAATATTGGGTTAAGGTTGGTTTTGTTTATTAAATTTCCCGATAGGCTCTAATCCAATACCATTTAAAACCTGGTTGTCCGAAAACTCCTTCAGTCCTGTGCGAAACTTAGGCTTAGTTCATACGTCGCATTTTGGTCGCGTCGAATGCAATTCAAACAATAGATAATGAGATGGTAATGAGGCTGAATGAGGTTTATCATCTCATTATCTATTGTTTGAATTGCATTCGACGCGGCCAAAAACGCGACGTATGAACTAGACTTTAGAAGAGGTGTTGTTTCGGAAGAAAAATCGTCCAAATAAATTAATGATGCTCAGAATATTCGTGGTCGCCGCTGTACTTTGCTGTGTTTTGATAAACACTCGGCAAGTAGATGCTGGTCCTAGGGAAACGGCTGGTAAGAAACAGTGAATATTTGTGATAGGAATATCTTGCATGGTTAGTGCTATTTTAACTGTTCGCGGTTTACCGTTTTCGACTTTCAATTTGTGAAACCAAGTTGATATTCGGCACCTCTGCTGCAGCGCGGGGGCTTGCGATGGACCAAAATATGATGGCTTTAATGCTATCATTAAGAATTTGTGGCACTCGATGTAGGATCGATTGAAAACATTCATAAGCAACTCAAATTCGGTACAATTATAGAATACCCTGGCATAAGGAACAACATATGAATATAATTGGCTACGTGGATACGCGGATACATGTAATTACACTTAATGCAGTAGTTTCAATAAGTACTATTAATACCGATATCGCTTAATATGCATATTATTGTTTATCAAATTTGAGATAAGATAGTTAATCCAGCGAAATATTGTTTGCATTATTTCATAGGTTGAGTTACATTTATTCGCTAGTTGTAGGATTGTATAGTTTCTTCACGTCTTGGAGAAAGGTTAGTAATATGACTTTAATTTAAGCCATTAAATTCAATTAAGTCCAAACACTGCAGTCGACTGGTCAATGTTTTGCCGCGAAGTTTGTTTGACAATTATTCAAATTGAGTAAAAGAGTATCGGTAAAAGAGTTCAAATAAATGAAACGAAAGTCGGCAAGAGAAAGTATCATCGAGGCCATTTAGGGGCCGTTTACATGAGCCCGGTTACCCGAGATTCAACGAAGCGTGAGATTATTTTGAGGTATTGAAATGAGCAGGTTAACATGATCCTGGCAGTCGTATAATCACCACAACAATAGCATGTGCTTGTTTGGTGTCATAAAGACTTATTTCAATACCTCAAAGTCCTCTCATGCTTCGTTGAATCTCGGGTAACCGGGCTCATGTAAACAGCCCCTTAGTCGAAGGCCAATGGGTTTTCGGAGGCAGAGAGGAACAATCAAGAAATTCCTTCATCGTACCAGCAGATGATAGATCCGAGAAAACATTGGTCGGCCTCGCACAAGCTTGGATATTACCAGGAACAACTATAATATCCGATTGCTGAAAGAGCTATATAAATCTCGAGCATTATGGATACATACACAAAACAGTCAATCATTCGCAAGAATTCGTTAATATTGAAGGTGACCACACAAATAAAATAGAAGGGCGCTGCCGTCAGTTAAAATCTAACCTACCTACACGTGGGCGAAAGAAAGACCATTATGCCTTATACTTTGCAGAATTTATGTGGAAATATAAGCATCACGATGACGACTGCTTCCTGTTTTCAAACTAAGAATCTTTACGAATACTTGTGTCTGCACTGGCTTGGTTTCCTGGTGGAAGATTTAGAATGTTTTGTCACAGCTGTTTTATAACTCTATGTATTCATTTGTTATTCCATTCGATATTTAACTGCATGCCAGGCATATTATGCAAATGTTTGAATCAGCATGGAAGGAATCTCTCAGAACTAAAAAAAACCTGTTAAATTTTTTAGGCCCGGGCTGCTCAGCCGTGTTTCCACAATCTAGAGTTGATTGTGGCTATCATGGAGTTACGGCAGAAGAATGTGCGAAGAAAGGCTGTTGTTGGGATGACACAATCTGGGCTTTCCCCTGGTGTTTTTACCCTCTAGGTATAATATAATATGTTATTTATCTAAAACCATTCCGACTTCCCATTAGGATAAAAATAGGGAAGGAACAGACGTACATAAAAACTAAATAGGCATTTATCAACCTCTTTTCCCAGGAAGGAAAAGTCTGGGAACCAGTGGCGTAACCAGCCTGACGATTTTGTCCCGCTATGTAAATTTCGAGTTATTATAATTATTCGTGCCTTTAGAAATCTATTGTTTTCACAGTCAGTGAACACCAAAATATTAGCATAGCGGGACAAATCGACAGGCTGGCTACGCTACTGCTGGGAGCGGAGTTTTTGACATTCAAAGATAGTATTTCGTGGTGTTCTACAAAGTAATAATTAGTATTAATTCATATTTGTTTTGAGTAAAACTCAAGATATGCAACTTGATGATTAAAAATGAACTAAAAGTTAGCATACTTATACTTATTTTTTAGAATAATGAGGAAAAGATTAATCTCACACGAAATTAGCACCGTTACCCGAAATTGGATTTAAACTATGGGATTTACCACATTTTTCAAACATTTTTTTGGCTTCTAGTATTAACGTAATTGATTTTTATCATGATTATACTGAAAATTTGTAGCTTGTTATAAATGTTCAATATTTTGTGAAATGCACCGTTTTAAAATTAAACCGAAATATCTTCTCTTGATAATACAAGATGGCGGGCTGGTCCAGAGGCGGATCTGGAATAAATTACATAGCTAAATTTTAAATTTAAAACACCTTAATAACAACGCTATTGGTTATCGATTTCTAAAGAATATTTTTGTTAAAAATCTACCAATGAGATTGCGATTTTAAACTGTAGTGATTTATTCTGACTACCCCTAGACCCGCCACTGGGCTGGTCGGAGAAATGGCGGTAAAAATGCGTAATGTAATATGTGTACCTAATAACACAAACCTAAAGGTTCCGACAATCAGCGTGATTGACTGTATTCACTGGAAATTATTTCCATACTATGGAAATATGCTGCACCCATACTGTTCATACTATATTTATAGTATGAAAATGGCATTTAGTATGGATATTATAAACTTCCGCAATATTTCCAGCTAGCAATCCATACTATTTCGAAAAAATATTCCAGTGATTTCAAGTTGGGGAAGCGATCACAAAAAAATCGATCGCGCGATATTTTGCAAAATGGAAATCGGCCTTAACATGGTACATGAAACATGTTGTACGAGTCAATGCCAATGCATTTAACCACAGTTAATAGAATATACATGGTTTGGAGACCACATCAAACTACAATACAACTCATTAACTATGTTCAGGTAGATTTATGCAAAAAATTGTTCCTTTCTCATCACGTGTCTATTGTATTTTACACAGATAAACTAATAGCAATCTTATAATTAACATATTTTTCAAGTCAAGGTTGAGGAGCTTAGCAAGACGAATGCCATTGGTACGTTTGGCTATAATACAATAGAGACGTGACGAGAAAGGAACCATTTTTTGCACAAACCTGGACAATAACATAGTGTATTGTACAATGATTTGTATTGTACTTTTATTTAGTCTCCAAACCATGTATAGTCTATTAACTGTGATTTAACTTTCCTTGCAATGCCCAAAATCGTGGCGAACAAGTCGCAACAAGTGCACTAACTAACCATCCGTCTGTTAGTATAAATACGGAGAGGGAAGGAACTACAAAAAATTCACCCTAAAACGGCTCTTGTGCACTCTTTTTACCACATTGTAATTTCCTAATCCCCGTACACTTTCTTAAATTATAACGCACGATTCGTTTAACGTATTGGTCTACATAGTTCGCTTAGATAGTTCGTCGTGTGTTTAGACTCAGACGAATGATATGTTAGGCAGATCATTTGTCTCTCGAATAAATCAGGCCAAACATACTTATACAGGGTGTATAGAAAATTTTCCCCAAATAAAATCAAGCGTTTGTTAGAATTTGAATGCCTTATTACGTCTCAGCCTTATTACACTATACCGGATAGCTTCCGGAACGCATAGGTCAAATTTTATAGCTATTAAAACGGCAGTAAAAAAATTTACTGTCAGAGTTTGAAATAACCAGTGGCGTTTCCAGCCTGACGATTTTTTCCCCGGCTATGTAAATTTCGAGTTATTATAATTATTCATTTCCTTAGAAATGAATTGTTTTCACAGTCAATGAGCACCAAAATATTAGCATAGCGGGACAAATTGTCAGGCTGGCTACGCTACTGGAAATAACTATACCAAATGTATCAAACTAATAAGCATTTGCTATTAACCATTGCTCTTTGACGGCAACCGAAGACATCGTGGAAATAAGCGAATTCGCTAAAGTGTAAACGGTCCTTATGCTCGACTGATTTATTTGATAGCGATAGTTTCCATAGCGACATTCCCTTGTACGGTTTCAATATCAGAACAAAAAGGGCGGATTTACGCTGTCACGCCTTAGATCGTTAAAATAGGCAACCTTGTGTAAACTCGAGAGCATGCATGCATGCTGCCCCATTAAAAGGGTACTTAAGAAATATTGGGTCAAGGTTGGTTTCGTTTATTAAATTTCCCGATAGGCTCTAATCCAATACCATTTAAAAGCTGGTAGCACGAAAACCCCCTCAGTTCTGTGCGAAACTGGAAGAGGAGTTGTTTCAGAGTAAAAATCGTCCAAATAAATGATGTTCAGAATATTCGTGGTCGCTGCTGTACTTTGCTGTGTTTTGATAAAAATCCGGCAAGTAAATGCTGGTCCTAAGAAAACGGCTGGTAAGAAACAGTGAATATTTGTGATACGAATATCTTGCATGATTAGTGCTATATGATTGCCCGGAATCGTTCATGCAATTGCACGTATGTTAGTAACTACATCATAGACGGTACAATATTCAATATTCTGATAAACTGTTCGCGGTTTACCGTTTTCGACTTTCAATTTGTGAAAGCAAGTTAATATTCCGCACCTATGCTGCAGCCGGGGGCTTGCGATAGACCAAAATGCGATGGATTTTATGTTATCATTAACCATTGTGACACTCGATGTAGGATAATTTCTAAAGCGTTTCAATGGTCTTATTTTCGATTGAAAACATTCATAAGAACTCAAACTCAAACAATACTTTTTCCAAAACTAGGTGAGTGACGAAATTTTTCTGCATGAACCATTAATCAGAGCACGCGAATGAATCACAATATATTGAGCTTTCCAACGCAACATTGCAATACAATACGCAATAAGGAGATAAATGAATGACTTCTCTCTGTCTGGCTATCTCAAATTTGGTCGCCACACTCAGTGGCTGTCCACATGATTGGCTGTCCACATATTAGCCATATAATTAACTAAGGCACCCTGTTTTTAAATTTTTTTCCCTTTTTTAATTAATTGTAAGCGTAGAAAGGTTATATTTATAGGGGGAGCTTCACCATAGACAGTACGGATAAAATAAACATATATTTTAGGCAAGCTATATACAGTGGCGTAGCCAGCCTGACGATTTGCTATGCTAATATTTTGGTGTTCATTGACTGTGAAAACAAAAAAATTTCTAAAGACATGAATAATTATAAAACATGAAATTTACATAGCGGGACAAAATCATCAACTGGCTATATAGACTTAGTTGATATAACTTTCCCTCTCTTGCATTTAATCACAGGAAAGACCGAAGTAGTTCGATCAAGTGCATTGTTTGTCAAAAAGTGTTATTTTTGGCAAACAATATCATGTTGTAACCTTGGTTAGGTTAATGGGTACAATTCTAGAATACCAGGCCAATAGTGCATTCTTTTAAAAATTTTTTATAGAGAGATCAATTTTAGTGTATTGAACTGCATGCCCCGTTCTGTAAAAACGTGTTTATTGTTGTTCTGTGAAAGTCTAATTCATGCATCAAGTAACAAAAAACAAGGTAGTCCTACATATGTCATTTACTGTTAAGAGTTGGCCAGGTATTCTAATTGCTCCGATTAAAATGCGGATACGGATGCGGAACGGACCGACGGAATGGATATGGAGATACGACCAGATAGGATCAAAAAAACAAATATATCGTATTTAAGGAAAGTAATAACAGAACACAGGAGTTTTAAAATTTTGTATGTGTCATACTTAGGTTGCCCTACCCCGAAACTGGACAATCAGCTTCTTAATTTAGTAACACTTTTGCTTACTAATAAATTTCAGTAAGAACCTGCTCTGGCGTGCATCCGCTATCTAGAGTTGGTTGTGGTTATCCTGGAATATCACAGCAAGAATGTGAAAGCAAAAAATGTTGTTGGGACAATAAAATTCCAGGTGTAAAATGGTGTTTCTACCCTGCAGGTATGTCTTTTTCATCTAAACCAATTCCGAAATCTCACTTGCATAGAAAAATACACACGAATCTTACCCATGCAGGTAGACAACTTTAAATTAAAATTCTCATTAATAAATTTTAGGCCCTGCCTGCTCTTGTGTGCATCCACGATCTAGAGTTAGTTGCGGTCATCCTGGAATTAAAGAGCGGTCATGCGCAAGCAAAGGTTGCTGTTGGGATGTCAGTAACAAAGACGCGAAATCGTGTTTTTATCCCGCAGGTATAATTATTCGTCTGAAATTTCATTTCAACTTCTCTTATTGGCATAGAAATTTAACATTACTTTCCTCAGAATTTCCTGGAGCAAAAAGTTATTAATTGCTTTATTCTATAGTTTTCACCTCAATTTCAAGGTGACTATTGACTTTCCTGCAATCTGATTGGTCAAAATTCACTGTGTCTGTGGTTATAGCGTTTTGTTTTTTACATAAGAAATTTGAAATAATTATAATATTTTATGAAATTATGTTGATTCTTATTTGTAAAAATTTAAATTATACCAAAATTTCTTTCGACTCAGTGAATATAGGCTTGTTGTAATCACCTCGCCTTCGGCAACTAATTGTTGAATGGTTCTAATATGCGATATTTAACTGCGCCAGGAGTTTTATCCTAAGCTAGATTTAAATCGAAATTCTTAAAAATAAATTCTGCAGGTCCCGGCTGCTCTAACGTGCATCCACTATCTAGAGAAGAGTGCGGTTATCCTGGAATTGAAGCAGAGGTTTGTGCCAAGAGAGGATGTTGTTGGGATAGCAGTATCAGAGGTGTAAAATGGTGCTTTTACCCTCCAGGTATAAGTATGTGTTATTCGTCTGAGACCATTCTCACTTTTCATTAGCAAAGAAATGACAGATGTATTTGGTTAGATCCATACGATTATACGAAAATAGGGACTGACGGTTCATCTGAATTTAAAACTACCAAAATGAATAAGTATACATAGGTTTCAAAAATTGAAAATGCATTTCGAAATTCGTAAAATTAAAATGCTGGATATGAGAAAAAAATCTCTATATTGTGCGAATAATAAGTAGGTTAATCGGACGTTACACCCCAAGTATTACCATTAAAATGATCTGAAATTACTGCAAAATACCGAATTTGCAAATATATGTATCGTTGTTTAAGATGACAAAATCAAATTCAACTAATATCTACGACATTTTTTCAAACACCCCAGCTATAATGAAAGAATCTATTTCATCGGTTAATCCTACAACTTCAGCAACTGAGCCGACGAAGTGTGCTGTTACTTGTCCCAAAATAAGACTCCCTCGAGTATGTGGGTCAGATGGCAATACATACCCGAATTTCTGTTTACTGAAAGAGACTGCTTGTCAGTTCGACGAAAAAATCAAGATTGATCACCCTGGACCTTGCGGTGAGTAACTAAAACCTTGCAATTACTATTGAATGTTTGATGATCAACTTCGCTGCTCTACGCCAATAGCGAAGCTTGTTCATATATAGGTACGTACCGACCTAATTTTGGCTGATGGCATAAGCAAAAAATGCACGAGAATACCATATCTTGTACTCGGAGTCGTACTCTTAATCACTGCCAAAGCTTTCTATTAATTGACCCGAAAGCTAACCATTTAATTTTGTTTAGCGCCGAAGTGTTCTCAATATTGCACACGGGAATACAATCCTCAATGTGGTACAGATGGCCAGACATATGGTAACCCATGTTTCTTCAAATATGTCCAATGTGATAGTAATGGGCAAATTAGATTCAAGCATCATGGAGCGTGTGGTAGGTATTGCTCAAAAACTATATAGATCTGGCAATATATTCAATAATGCCTAATTGATGCAAAATTTGATATGCATTCCTATCCAGCATGCTTACAAAAAACGCTAAAAAATATAATTATACTGAGTGTGTTTGTATCATAATAGTTTGAATTTACATAAAGTATTTTCACCTTGAATTACTTGATCTGAATGAGGTTCACGGCCACGGCCTGCTGAACTGCACGACTAGACGGCTAAAAATCACCATGTTGCATGATGCAAATTGTTAAAAACAGGAAAAACAATGTTGTACTGCTACCGGCGAACAGCATTAACATAACTTTCATTGTCGTCACATCAAATTATGATTAAGTGCACACCCGTTCCGCGTGTTCTAAATCACATATATTGAGAATTCTAAGTTTTAGAACATCGGATATATGTGACATGGGATGATCATCTGAGCCATCTAACGCGTTCGCTGTTTGCTGTACTGGGAACGAGTTATTTTGTAAGCGCACAATTAGCATGCATATACGAGCGTGTATACATTCTCACGCGCATTCTTGCCCACTGTATATTGCGCTTACCTCTTGGACTCGTCAAAATTTCTAAATATTGCTGATGGCCACTAATTTTCAGAGGAGGTTGGACAGCTGTCACGTGAATTTCTCGACCAATGAGATTGCGCTATTTTCCAAGCGTGCTTGCGAAGATTTTGAGCGAAAATTACATAAGACGGAGAAACATAAAAATATTGAGTATATTTTTTAAAGTTTACTGATTAAAACGCATATTTTTTGAAAAAAGATTCATTGGACTGGCGATATCTGTCGAGATTATCGAGGTAAGCGTTACTTTTTAAGTCGATTTTTATAACTGAAGTTGGTCGGGTCGTTCCGAAGTGATGAGTCATGTGCTTGTCTGTTTACAATTTTCAAAGTTGAAAATCTCGAATTCCTGTGGTTCGATTTTTGAGATTCTTTGTAAGAATGAAGTTAAGTATGTAAAAAAAAAATCGGCTGGATCGACCCCTTGCGACCCCACACCATTTCCGAGATATCGGGCTTTGAATTTACCACTCTTGTTTTGAGATGTTCAAAATAGCGCATTTCGGGTCAATGGGATATTTCCCTTTCAAATATTGTTTAACTACATAATTTGTATATTAATGTAATTTTATTTGTATTCATGGTTTAACTTCCTTCTTTATTAACATTTAGCGGGAAAATAGATTTTTTGTATTTTATATAGATTTCCATTTTTGGCAGTGACGACTCCTATGCTCATTCGCTAACCTAGCGTTTCGGTAAGTGCACATAGCGCATTTCGGGGTTCAATAGAATTTTTTTCTTTTGTGTAGGTCAGTATGGCTGAGGCCCAAAAAAGGGTACACGATCCTCCAATCGATCCTGCATCTTTTAACATCCTCTAGTAGTGGGAAGAACGTCTAGATCGTGTCTGTATTTCTAGGCGAGCTGACCCTGGAGTATTTGTTGCCAACAGAGCTGTAATCCCACAACGTGGGACAACGTGGTCAATTGAGTGTTAGATCAGCACATTTCAAACAACCAGAAGGCTTACCACCACCACCACCTTCACAAAATTGATAAATATGAAACATATTGTGTGATTATATGTTTTCACTTCTTCAGTAAAATAAACTGACATTTTATATTGGTTCTGTTCTTTAGATGCTTGTTGATGTTTACAGTTAGTGTGAGTTAAGATCTGCATTACTAAGCCATTGTGTGTTAGAACTGGCAATATTTATGTATATTAGGTTGATTGAAAAGCTAAAGGCATGAACACCTTATCTAGTACAATTGATCTTCAAGTTTGCATGAATTGTAAATGCTATTAGCATAGAAACAATAACCAATGGTGTGTGTATGCAGGTTTTTACTTTTTTGAACATCATGTAAATATATGTATAAATGCAAAATCTTGGCTGTTTTGTCAAGGCAATTTTACTTACAATATTTTATAACCATCATAAAATTTGATGAGTTTATTTATTTGTTCATCAATAAATACAGATTTACATATTTATACCATGTATTGTATGAATATTTTTCTAATTTTCTTAATATTGCAAGGGTTTGTATGAAATATCACATGACAGTGAAGTGCTTTGGTTATAGACAATAGGTTTTGAGGATATAAAATAGAAAGCCTGGTTTCCATACAACATTGTCAGGGTGTTGTGTTAACCATTAAGAAAAATATCTATCATTATTAGTTATTATGCAACAACTTGATTGTCATATGGAAACCAGACTAAAAACAAGTTGATGGCAAAAATGCTGGAAAAATCTACATAGGTTAGCCAATGGAAATAATTGCAGAAATTCACAACTTGCAAACCCTGGTTCTTATGAAATTATATGTCAACGTACACTCATACTAGCCCTTACAATCTGACCTTCCCATTCACCACGCCTCTTTATCCAGATTTTTGGATAAAATCCTATTTTTAAAAAGTTAACCCGAAACTTGATGTGTTCAACATAGACGTCTAGTATATCTCCTGCTGCAATCAGTGGATGTAAATACTTGCAATGTTCAGAAGCTATATATCCAACATTTTCCCATTGAGTTCCATAATGAAGATCAATAGCAATTGCATTTTGGTCCCGAGGATTCTCCGGCTCTGGTCTTAGTCGAACATTTACTGATTCATTATATTCAAGGGCAAGATATGCCTGTTCCAGATGATGTTGGTAACTTGTTCATGAGCAGCTCCAATGCACTTGAATGGTAGAGCATGAGTGATTTCTTCCTCATCACTTTCAACTTCTTCACTTTCATCTTCTTCACTGTCCTCATTACTAATTTGCTCATTGACAGTTTCATTTCTTTTACTTTGTTCATCCCCATTCTCCTCTCCAGCATTTTCTAGTTCAGCTAAATGCTCAAGTAGATCTCTTTCTATAAAGCAAAACAAAAAAATGCCCGTCTAATACTGTTATGTCTATAAATAAAAACTCACTAGTAATTTCTAAAAATAGAATTGAACGACTCTGAGATTAATTTTTACTTTAAGCATGAAACCATTTATAACAAAGCATGTGTAAAGAAAACATTCGTAAACAGAAATGAACTATCAAAACTTTATACAGCTGTAACTATACCTTCAGATTCATCAGAGAACCAATGATGATCATCAATGTCTCTATTTTCTGTTCTTTCATGACCAAAATCGTTTTCGTTACTTTCACTTGGTTCTTGAGAGGCTTGAGAGCTCCCTGATTCAGATGTGTTATCTAAAGGAGGTAGAAGTACTTTCTGAGTGGGATAAAAGTTTGAACAATTGCAACTTACTGCGTTGATATTAAGCAACGGAGTTTCTTCGATGTCATCAAAATCAGGAGTAACCGCATCCACAGCGCTCGTATTTTCTGTCAATACACGATCCACATCAAAATCCCAAATTAAAAGCATTCTCTCCGCTTTACAATGAATAAATTCATCAGGGATAGTACCAAACTAAAAAATAGTTTCAGTTAAATTTTAATACACAAATCAAGCCTTAAAAGTTAATAAAAAATATTAAAAAATGAGGTGTTGACAAGTACTTTATACTAACCTCAAATGTAGTACTTGCTTTAACGTTGATGACACAAGGAGATTTAAGGCCATTCAACTTCGAAAGCAGTGCTTCGGTGTTTGGTATAATACAAAGTCTTCTTTCAGACGGAGTATTATGAAAGGCGAAATGGCAGCAAAGCCCATGCAGCTTAAAAAACGGTAAACTCGGTACAGTAAAAGATAAGTCGTAATGCGGATCGCAACAATACATATACATCATAGTATTTTGCACTATCGCAGCTTGAAAATCCTGTCTTTCGAAAGCATCCATTTTTCCTATACTCGCAGAGCTCTTCACATCACGACAGTCAAAACGTCAAATGGAGCGTTCGCATAATTGAGCGCTCAATATCCATCATGCTTTGCGGCCTGCTGTCCAACCTCCTCTGACTAATTTTAGAAGCTACAACAATTTGACGGATGATCAAAAGATCATTCTTAGGGCGTTTTATGACAATGGAATGAACACGACGGCAAAACATATGCAGGAAATAATACTGAGAGCTGCCGAACAAGCTGGGGCAACCTACGACCAAGTAAAGGTATGTACTTCCAAAATACCTTAAAATATATAAATATAGGATGCCTTGTATTGATTGGAACTTGACATGAAGTTCAAAGTTTGTATATGAGCCAAAATTGTTATTAGACATTTGCGATTTTGACGTCTAAATAAATAATTTGCATTTTCAAAATGGCGACTGAAAGTTTATAAACTAATAAAGGCTTTATAAAGTTTATAAGGACTGTCACTGTTGTCAGTATTATGTGAACCAAGAGTCAGATACTTTATCTTTCGCGTTTTTAAATTTCCGAGTATTATACATATAGTACCACCTGGGTAGGTGTAAAGTTGTAAACTGTATTTCACAGTTGATACTGAAATTTTGTGTAGAAATGGATTGGAAATGAAAAAAGGAAGAGAAAGCTAGGTGAAAGTAGGACAGAAGAAAACAAGCATGAAGATTCAGATGACAATGTACTAAGAATAGGTCCTCCACTTAAAAGAGTAGCATCTGGCTACAACATATTTTCATCAAGCATGCTCAGTTCAGGTAAATATTAAATGCTTCCTTATCATCAGCAAAAATGTCATATACCCTTATCCATCCTTTATTTAATGCTCCTCCAGCAGTTTCTGCCCTCTAGCAACCCTCCCCTCACAGGCCTCAAAATAATGTTGGTCGTTATTCCATTATATCTGATTAACTATGTATAAAAGTTACCAGTCGTGAATGCTTTGATAATGCTTTGATCAACTGTTAACATTTTTAAGTTATTACAAAATACTGTTGTTACAAAATTCAAATTACTGTTGTTATAAAATAACAGCTTGTTGCTTTTTGTTAAATGTCATTAATTGCATTATTGTAGGTACCCAGCTAGTCTAATACATCTTATATATGAAAAATATTGTTTCTACTACATATTATTATACATAAAACATACTCCCAATAGGGCTTTTCAGTATGTACTAACAAGGCTAAAAATAGGTATATTTCTATCTACAATTACGTTATTGACTATGCTATGTTTATAAAATATGTTTACAATTAAGAGAAATCCTAGTTATATAGTTATACTAAGATTTTAATACTTTAACTAAGATAGGTTTCCGTTAACGTTATTTGTTAACATATTTTTCTTTAAGTGCTTCTTAAATGTTTTAAAAGGTAGTTTTTTAAAATCTTTATCTAAAATGTTCCAGATTTTTATTGCTCTATAGCAAAAACTTCTTTGACCTGATGTTGTTTTGCATGGGGGAATGTCAAGGTCGTCTT